TGGGTTAGACGGTATACTGCTTTAGCGTGTCGTCATCTAAATTCTGCAAGACATCTTTGGTGTCAGGTTTTTGTCCCTTGTCGAGTTCCTGTTCAGAGTATCCCTGCTCTGCAAGCACCTCTTCAACAATATAGATGGGGGCTTCGCAGCGAAGTGCAATCGCGATTGCATCACTCGGACGGCAATCCACGTCAATATTGTCCCCGTTCACTTCCAATGTCACATGTGCATAGAAAGTCCGTTCTTCGAAAGAGTGTACACACACCGCTGTAACTTTAGCCCCAAGCGTTTCAATCATACTTTTGAGCAAGTCGTGTGTCATCGGTCGCGGGAGTTGCATTTTCTCAATATGCATCTGGATAGCCGCTGCCTCCGATTCGCCGATCCAAATCAGCAATATCCGATTTGAATCACCCTCTTTTTCCTTCAGGACGACTATCGGTGCTCCCGTACCACGATCGATTGAGAGGAAGTTAACTTTAACCTCAACTCTTGCTTCTTTTTCTTTTTCCATCTGTGTATCCTTTCATAATATTGGCTATCAGTGGTCAGGTCGCTTCGCTTTCGGCAGTCAGAAAAGAGGTTGTCGTTCTAACAAACCCTCTTGCTGACTGCTGACAACTGATGGCTGATTGCTATTCTTCTGAATCCGATTGAGCATTGACTGTCACGTTGGAAGCATAATCGCGAAGAGTCTGTGCAATTTTTTTCGGTATCTAAACCGCTGAAGTCGACGATTTCCTTCAGCAGCGGCGCTGCCGCTCCCGCATTCACAATCGAACTGAGAACCCGGCGCAGTAGCATTTGGACAAATGCCAATGGCAATTAAGCGGGGGTACATGGACAAAAAAGCAAAGTTAGCGTAATTCCATTTCGCTTTTTTTTACATCAAAGATTCGTTTTGCCTGATCATAATTTATGAGAATGACAGTATCTCCTTTGACAGGCGCGACTTTATCTGGTTCGGCACGACAACTGACGGTTAATTCGGGTCCATCGGGAACTCGGACGCGAGCAGTACCAAAGGTAGTTGTAATCTGTCCGCTAATGACTCGTCCACTTAAACCGAGTAGCTGGACATCATTGATGGCTTTTTTGCTCTCTGGAAACAGTTTTGAAAGCCCGATGGAGATATACCGAGTTCCCAAGAAACAACAGAAAAACGCAATGATACACGATATCCAAACCCGGTGTAGGTTCTCTGGAATATTGAGAAATGCGTTCGCAATGAGCCCAGAAATTCCCCATGTCACAAATAGCGACATCAGCACAATCATCAAGGGGACCCTGCCGACGTTCAAAAGCCCAAACGCGTCCGTGAAGAAGGAACCCTGAGTGCCTGTATGTGCGTCCATATCAGCATCTACATCTGCGTCCGCATTGAGATCGATATCGGCATCCATGTCGACGTCAACATCCATATCAACATCTGTATCTACATCGCCGAAGTCCATCGCACCTGTTGCAAGTCGAAAGAGTGCCAGTAGGAACACAATCGCTAAGGGGCTGTAAACCAGACATTATACGAAACTATGAGATAATTCAGGAACTCTATCATGGCATCCGTTTTTATTTCCTGAGCTGCTCGGCGATGCAGGCATAGGCATATCGTGCTGAACGAAAGTTGATATTATCGATCCAGTGAACATTACGTACAACACTAATTTCAAGTTTTGCTTGGCGAAGAAGCCGGTGTTTGAGGTGCCGAACTAACTTAACACCGCTGATTTCTGTAAACAGCAGATTACACCGAACATTCGCGTAGGAAACAGCGAGGTTCCCTATATATCGCTCGTCTAAGACCAGCACCCTGCGCGACGTGATAAAGACAAAGTCTGGACGCAGCAGACTGGAGCGACCGAGGACGCACAAGTGGATGTGTTCATCCTCACATATATGCGCTTGCACAATCTTTTGAATGCGAGGTGGCATGTTCGCGAATTCAGCCATATCATTTTGCAAGCAGTGTGTTGTTGGTAAACACGGAACAACGCTGTAAAAATGGAGGTGGCGGGAATCGAACCCGCGTCCGAAGGCATTTCAATAGAGGCTACTACATGCTTATCACAGGTTTTAAGGTTCGCCTATCAGACTCCCCTGTGCAGGATTCACAATAGGCTATCTCAATAGGTGATTCGCGGCACACCCCTTGAGAATGGGTGTGCGGCTAGCCCGTATTGCAGCGCTTTAGCTTCCCTGACGGGCAACAGGTCGGCAAAGCGTAGCTACGTTAAGCAGCTAATGCTAATTCTTCATCAGCATTTATAAATGTTCCGCCTATTTAACGAGGCCTGCGGAGACCTCGGCATGCAACCTATATCTCATTCACCTTCGTCGAAACCTTGACACCCCCAGAATAGTAGTCAGCCTTCAGCCGTCAGCAAGATAGCCACAGCCAAGTCAATTATATGACCGCAGCTCACTCGCAGCCGCTTCACGCTCAATTTTATCGCGTTTATCGTAAATTTGCTTACCCATGGCAACAGCTAATTCCAGTTTCACTTTGCCGTTGCTAAAGTATGCTCGAGTCGGAACGATAGTCATCCCTTTTGAACGGATTGAGCGTTCAAGTTTGATGATTTCTCGCCGATGCAATAAGAGTTTCCGTTTCCGCTTCGGCTCGTGATTTTCAATATTTCCATGTTCATAAGGACCGATGTGGGCATCGATCAGGAACGCTTCTCCATCTGTTATCTGTGCGTAACTATCTGTCAGGTTAAACCGTCCTGAGCGAATTGCCTTCACTTCTGTGCCTTGCAGAACGACACCGGCTTCATAGCGATCGCGCAGGTGATAGTCATACCGCGCTTTTCGATTCACAGTAATCGCTGGAGTTGTGGAATTTTTGGCATTTTCCATAGCGATGTTAAGTATAACATAGAATTGACTTGTATGCAAGAAAAACTTCGGAAATTGAGGGCAAACTCATTTGTTTTTCTTGACAAAGATACAACCATCTCAGAGACATAGGCAGAAAACGATAGGTGCTCCAATAAGGTTGACCTAAACAATGTCCTTGTGAAAAATATGAAGTTTTTTCGCGAGATAGGATTTTAGTGGTAAACGGCGCGCAGATCTGATAAACTATACTATAAGTACCACGTTGTTGGGAAAACCAGGTCACTATGCCTCGGTATACCCGCAGAATTAAGGAAAGGAGTCTCTTGATGCCAGAACTTTACGACACCCGTGCACCGAATTCGCCCTCACGTGCGATCTTGATAGGCGTAAAACTCCGAAATAATCTGATGCACGAAGCCGAAGAATCGCTACAAGAACTCCAGCAACTCGCAGAGACTGCTGGCATTGAAGTCGTCTATGAGACAATTCAATCACGCAATGCGCCGAATCCAACTTATTTCATTGGCGAAGGTAAGGTTGAAGAACTCAAACCCCTCGTTGAAGAACTTGACGCAGACGCAATTATCTTTGACGAAGAGCTATCACCTGCGCAGAATCGGAATCTCGAGAAGGCACTGATGTCGCCACAATTGACCGGACAGGACTCATTCTTCAGGTTTTTGCCCAACGGGCACTCACCAAAGAAGCACGCCTACAAGTAGCATTAGCGCAACTCGAATACGCACTTCCACGCCTCACTCGGATGTGGACACACCTTTCACGACTTGCGACGGGTGGAGGCGGCGGTAGACACCTCCGCGGTCCTGGTGAAACCCAACTTGAAATGGACAGACGTTGGGTCCGTAGGAACATCGGACATGTCAGAAAAGCACTTGAATCTGTTGAAAAGCAACGCCATACTCAGCGGCGAAATCGGTCTGAAAAAATCAAAGTGTCTCTCGTCGGATACACCAATGCAGGGAAATCAACGCTATTCAACGCCCTGACGGGCGAAACCGTTTTGGCTGAAGATAAATTGTTCGCAACTTTAGATTCTACCACACGGAAGGTGGATTTGCCGCAAAAGCAACAAATTCTGGTGACCGATACCGTCGGATTTATCAAGAAGTTGCCACACCAGTTGGTTGCCGCATTCAAGGCTACACTCGAAGAAGTCTTAGAGGCAGATCTTTTGCTTCATATTGTTGATGTGAGTCATCCAGAAGCAGAGGCACAGATTGCCGCTGTGAATGTAGTCCTTAAAGAATTGGATGCTACTGACATTCCGATGTTCATGGTTTTCAATAAAATTGATAGGCTCAAAAGTGATGAGGAATTACACATCTTACAGTGCCAATATCCGGATGCTCTGCCTATCTCAGCGCAACGCGGCGACGGCATTCCAGCGTTAATAGATGCTTTGGCACATCGTTTTGCCGAACATGGCACGGATCTCTCTCTCTGTATTCCGTATATAGAGGGGAAGGTGCTCGACTTACTGCATAAGCACGGCATAGTGCTTGATATTAAATACGCAACGGAAGCCGTTTACGTCGAGGTACGCTTGCCGAATCGCTATCTCAAATCGGTCTCTCAATTTTTGGTTTCTTCCTAAGAAAGGCATTGACAATGCGATGGCTCGACCAGACTGACATCGGTCACGACTTACAAATCTGTCCAGATTGTGACAGGGAGTACGAAGTGCTTGACCAGTTTTTGGGGGAGTCCATCGGGGGATCGTGCGTATCACAATTTGATTGATACCGTGTTCAACGACGCTTACTATGTCGCTATTCGGTGTCCACAATGTCTCGAAACTCGGCACCTCTGCATACGATCTCTAACAGCCACGCAATTTCACATCGAAAAGGAGAGAAAATGAAGATAGGCGTTACCCAAATTATCCTTGGTGGTATGTCCCTGAACGATACACTTGCTCTCTGTCAAGATGCCGGTTACGATGCCGTTGAACTCACTTTCGGTGAAGGACAAGACACCGACATCAATATGAGCGATACGGAGTTACACGGCATTGCCGCTAAGTGTGAAGACGCAGGTATTGAGATCAGTAGTATCACGGCAGGCTACGCCGATCGCGGGAATTTACTCAGCTTGGATGCGACGCAACGCGAAAAAGGTGCAGTCTCTCTCGCTCGCGGTTTAGAAGTCGCTGGAGCACTCGGTGTTGGTGGGATTTTACTGCATCCCGGACAGCTCACTGTTGAGGGGACTTATCAACAGGTCTGGGATAACCTCGTTGGCGTGCTGAAGGATCTCGCACCTTCCGCGGAGGCGCACCAAGTCGCAATCGGACTTGAGAACGTCTGGAACAAATTCCTACTCAGCCCAAAAGAGATGCGTGATATTATAGACGAAGTCGGCAGCGACTGGGTAGGCACTTATCTTGATACTGCGAATATGATGGCTTATGGTTACCCGGAGCATTGGATCCGTGAACTGGCACATCGCATCAAGCGAGTGCACTTCAAGGATTTCTCCCGCAGTGCGCACCAGTTCGTTAACCTTTTAGATGGCGATACAGATTGGCAAGCTGTTATGGAGGCGTTCCGTGCTATCGGTTACGATGGCTATGTTATCCACGAAGTCGGCGGGGACAGAGAAGCACAAATTGACCTCGCGAAGCGGATGCGTGAAATCGTTGCGATGTAATCGGAACAGAGAAGGCGATGGCTTACTATAAACCATCGCCTTATGCCGGAGGTCGGACTCGAACCGACATGGACCTAGGGCCCGCGGGATTTTGAGTCCCGTGCGTCTACCGATTTCACCACTCCGGCGATTCTATCAATACTATACCGTATTGGCAAGATATATTATACTATATTTCCAGTGAAAAGTCAAATTCGCACCGAACAACCTTACGGATCATGACGAACCAACAACGAAATCTTCCATCTCAAAACGTATTCCAACGCTTCTTTGTCGGCACCCAAGCACTTTTTGGTCAATTGTCTGAAGTAGGAACATGGCAGACTTTATGGAATTGGGGACTTTGGCGAATTATACCTAAACGCCGACACATTCTCAAACTGATACACGAGCTCCCACCTCTTGATCCAAATGCTCCTGTAGAAATGCGAGCAATCCGTGATGAAGTCTTCGCAAAAAGTTGCTTAGAACTGCAACGCACCGGAGAGGCACAAATTCTCTTGGACCTCCTGAGACATGCGCACCAACCGCTCGGGTTTGAACAAATCTTTTTCGCCGCGATCTATCCGGTTTTAGTGAAACGTGACATGGAGGCAACCCCGATTTTAACTGAAGCCAGACATCGGCTTGATGTAGAGATCGGCTACCTCGGGCACAATGAGGATTATTTTTTTTGGGTACTCGAGATTGATGGCACACAGCGTCTCAGCCTCGACACACCGCTTGTCCCAAGACTGGAAGTGCGAGACGATAAACGCTACGTGGTCTATTCGCTCGGCAGTACTGGACTCGTTGATACAGACTATGCCGAGTACGCGGCACAGTGGCTCCTCGACTCGCCTCGGTTAACAATAGCACTTCCGTTGCTCGCTGCCACGTATGCGGAACAGTGGATCCTTAACGCACGCGTCTACCTTTCACATATTCTCGCAGATTTGAAAAAACGGAATTATCAGGTTACAGCAACGGCAATACCCGATTTTGAACGGGCTCGGTTGTCACTTTTACGCCGTCTCTCCCTGGACCGGCTAAGAAGACGTCAATTTCTGTCCGAACGCCGAAATCGGTAAGGTAGATACCCGGCTCAATCGAGAAACAGATCCCAGAAATCAACGCACGCGCATCGCGCGTCTCTAAGTTGTCTAAATTCACACCGTTTCCGTGAATAACAGTACCGATGTTGTGTCCAGTGCGGTGAATAAAGAATTCACCATATCCTTTTTCGGTGATATGCGCTCGGACACAGTCGTCCACTTCGTAACCGTAAATCGGTGCATCGACAGCCCATTTCTCACGGATAAGCCGTACCGCTCTATCCCGTGCTTCCTTGACAATATCGAAAATTTCAACATATTTCGTCGGAACCATTTTCCCCGCATAAGCCACCCATGTCGTATCTGCAAAGACCGCATCTGGATCTTTCTGTTTTGCCCATAAATCGATTAAGATAAAGTCCCCTGTTTTAATCTCTTGCGTATTTGTTGAAGTCGGGGCGTAATGCGGGTCGCTGCTCTTCGCGTTCACAGCGACGATAGGCGGATGATCCGTGACCAAATCCATCTCATCAAATTGTCCGAGAATCACTTGCTGAACGTCATATTCCGTAATTGTTTTCCCATCGCGCAGTTGTGAACCGATCCACGCGAAGGCATAGTCTTTCGCTTGCAGCACTAAGCGTGCGGAAGTCTGATGCCCTGATGCCTGCGCCTCGCTCAGACGCGCTTCTATTCGCTGTGCGAGTTCCGCAGACGTGTGCACCTCAACTTCCCATCGAACGAATCCACTCCAAGGTGCCGGCATCTACCCGTGAAATATAAGGGATCTCGGCATTTGGCGAATACTCCATTGCAACAGTTTTAACGCCAGCGAGTAAGGAGCGAATCGCTTCGTTAAGTTCTTCCCAGCCAGCGTAAAGCGTAACGCTTCCTTGTACACCAACGAAGTTGGATGTCTCGATCTTATGGACCAGCCACCGCGGTTCACCGTGCGCCGGAATAAGGCAGAACCATCGGCGTGTTATATGTGCTTCCGCCAAGCCTGCTACGTTCTGTGCAATCGGGTTTATCCCACGGAAGTCGTATAGGAGCCATGCATCTAATCCTAATGCTGCCAGTTCACGTTGAATCTCTGTTATTTTCATATTTCCCTCCTAAGTACGAAAATAATTTATCCGTTATCGTAACATAAAAGCCCACTGCTGTCAAAGTGTATCCCGCTTGCCGTAGGGATATTAGTTTAACGAAATTGGGCAGGCACAGAGCCTGCCCAAACAGTGAATTATCGTTTAAATGTGGTGGCGTTGCAGCTGTTATAACTCTGGATAAACCAGATTATGGTTCTATCACCCAGAAGCAGATTGCTGAACAGTTCTCGATTTGGAATGCTGTCCGGATTTACGGATATCTGGAGAATTTGACAAGCACGCTAACCCAAAAGATGGAAAGTACTATTAGGAAATTCATTGGATTTTCCTTTCTCGGTTTCTCAAGATTTTTTATGTTTCTATAAAATATGATGACATATCTCGTAATACGGTATTTCTGTGAAAAAGTGACAAAAATTTGTGATGAATTATTTATACTGGCAGTCGCAACATGTGTGTTGCAATCATCCACGTGCCGAGTGATTTACGGAAGTGAGAACGTTAGGTTTGCGGATTCGTTTCAGGTTTGCGTCGCTTTCCCGCAAATAGTGATAGTAAGCGTGCTGCTTCTCCTTATAATCGCGAAGGACTTCGTTGTAAACTGGGTCTTCAGATTCCCAATTTGTTCGCAATTGGTTAACGTCAATCCACTTATCACGAGCCTGATCATATTCAGTTTGAAGTGTTTTTAGATGACTCATTTGTTGATCGTAGTCCTTCCCTCAAGGGTGAAGCTGTACATGCGCTGATATTATCAACGTGTAAAACGTTAGATTTTAAAAATCGTTACGTCTCCACAACATCGGCTTGACTGTTTTTCCTATCAAGTGTCCGTTCCTTCGTTGTCTTAGGCAGAAAGTCGCGATGAGAAGATCGTCCGTCCAGCACAGATCAACCGATCCTGAAGTTGATATGACGAGCGTAGGAAGGACTCGCAACTTTCTACGGAAAATATTGACATTGAAGTATTCACACCGTATAATACGCCTTAAATTGATATGGTGAAGTCTAAACGGAGTACGTGAAATTTGGCGATGCCAAACGAATTAACCCATGAATCCATCCGAAACGCAGAGACACTCCCAAGAGTACTTAGAACGATGCCGACACCCCCAAATTCAGGCACTTCGACCTGACGCAGAAAACTCAAAAGATTTGTGGATACCCACCTCCGAACAACTGCATGAACTCTTAACCCAGAAACTGCCCATATCCGGACAGGTCGGTTTTCCGCCGGACCGCAGACGGTTGGGAATACGAGACCTATTTTCGCGAATGGGCAGCCGATTACGGCACTTATATTGATACACACCGACAGTTTGTTGGAACCGATGCAGAGAGCGTGCTTTTGCAGGTGTTAATGGCACGCCTCGGTATCGGGGAACGATGGATGGTGTAGAAAAATTTTCGCTATTTTTTAGGAGAGATAGATGACTTTTGGACAGTTACTTACGACGATTCAAGATTATAAACAGGCAGGTATCTCAAATCTTGAGACCTTAACAACACTTCTCAACGACACGTTCGGGGATTGGCTTGCGTCACAAGGCGTTAGTTGTCTTGTAATGTTAGAAGAAGATAGGCTATGCTTGAATGTGACAGGTCAGTTAGAGAAGAATCCCGTACAAACGGAATTGCGTGCTACCCCCGATTTCTCGTGATTTCGCTGGATAAAGTAGAAGATGAGCAGGGGGCGATTGCCGACGCTCTCAAATCCTACACTTCAGATGGCGATGGGGCTTATGTCTGGGTCGTTCCGGATGGCTACATGGCAGCGTTAACCCCGGCGGAACAGGAATGGGAAGAACATGGCGGCGGGTATTTTTCGCATGAATCTATATGTATCTCCAATACCGCTGATAGAGGAACGTGTTGTCTACTTGAAGTGCTTTATGAAGATCCGACGTTGGAGAACGTCTCCTGTGAATTTGAGGTGCCAGCGCATCGTTCAGTGCATTATCGGCTTGATAAACTCAAGCGTGAAGACGGCGAACCGCTCATCGCTAAAGATGCCCCTGTTAGTTACAAAATCACAAGCCGCGATGCACGGGTTGTCGTCCAAGGTTCGCGAATCCTAACGAGCGGTGAAAGCAGCACATTTGCCAGCTTTGGAACAGTGATGGCGTGGTGCCCACAGTAGCATCACCTTCAGAACGGGTGGGGTTGAAAACCTTGTCAGTGAAGTACGGATGAAGCAAGGCGTTTTCGGTGGAGAACCTACCACGTCAAGAGTGAATACGCTATGCCTGCTGCTTGGGGTTCCAGAACGCGCAAATTATCGCCGTAATCGGGATCGCAAGTACCAGTCCCAATGTGCCAGCGAGCAGTCGGACAATCTCCGCCGATACAACGCCGATGCTCAACAACTGTGCCGGTGGTGATTTGAAAAAGTCCAAGTTTGGTGCTGTAATTGTGACGACGAGCAATAACTCCGCACCAAGATAGGCGAAAACTAACGTATTCACCATCGTACCGAGAATGTCCGTTCCAACGTTCAAACCGGAAGCGATGAGCCGCCATGTCGGCATGTTCGGATTTGCCTTGCGAATTTCCTCCATACTTGATGCCACTTCGATCGCGCCGTCAACAGCGACACCCAATACACCCATCAGCATCCCTGCCAAGAGGATCTGCACAAAATCGAACGGTGGCGTGCGCGTCGCCTCTATAATGTCCGCTGAGATTGCATTCTCTAACCCAGAAAAATGGAGATGCTGCTGTGCAAACAGGACGATTAGACCCGCAACTAAGATGCCACCCATCGTTCCAAATACCGCCGAAAAGGTTTTCCGACTCGGACCGATCACGAATACCAGCGACACAAACGCCACGACGCCGGCAGTCAGCGTTACGATGAACACCGCATTCGCACCGCCTGAAATTAGCGGTAGCATGAAGAAGTAGATAACCGCCGCAGAGATCAGCATTGCGCACGCTGTACGGATACCCTCGATTCTGCCCACGAGGATAATTACCAGTAACATCCCGCCTACCATCCAGATCAGGAATCGGTCTCTACTGTAATCTTGAACGATGTTGACGAGGCTAACTTGTTCAGGGCTCCCGGCGACACGACAGAGAATAACATCCCCCGGTTCCGCGGGGATACTCAGCAACGGCATATTGTGATTCACAATGTTTCGTAACACCAAACGTCTGCCTTTATACATCCCGCTCAGCATTTCCACTTCAAGGATATGATGTTCGCTTTTCGACTCATAGACATTGAGTCGCGATTCGGAGATCGCTCCTACAGTGTCCTTCATTGCCCGGATACTATAGGTTTGCTCGTATTTCGTATCCGAGAGAAGCCAGCGACTATCCTTCCACGGTTTAACCGAAACAGTGATTTCGTCCGAAAACGGGATTTTATGGCTACTGAACGCCTCACGCAAAACCTTCGGGACAACACGATTGTCCAGATCATTTACGGCACTCCTGTCAATTTCAAAAAGGAAATTCCCATTGGATTCAAGCAATCGAACGACTTTGCCCTTCGCGTATTCCGATTTACTAATAGGGTTTCCGTCTGCATCCAGTTGCTCCAAAACCGTTGCGGAGAGTTCATGTGTGCGGTAGTACGCAAAAATTGTGCCGATCAGAACGATAGCCATCGCGATAGGGACAGCGATTCGGGCTTTACTACGCGGCTGGGTCAGCACGGAACACTTCCTCTAACTCTTCCGCCGAAGGTAGGTCTTCGTGCCTTATTGAGAGGTCAGATGTGTCTACCTTCGCGTACTGGGTGAGGAATCCAGCAACCGATGCGGCAATTGGAACCGTGAGCACCAACCCGATAGTTCCCACCACGGCTTGGACAATCGCAACTGCTGTGGCTTCATCGTTGACGAGGCGGAGGAAAGGGTAGAGGATACCGACTTCGGGGAAATCAATGCGTGGCAACAGCATCGTCATCATGTGCGCGCCGAGGTAGGCAAAGATGAGCGTATCCGCCATCGTTCCCATAATGTCTCTGCCCACATTTAGCCCAGCACGAATCGCTTGCCGGACGGTGATGTTCGGGTTCACCTGCTTGACTTCATGGACGCTTGAGGAGATGGACATGCTCACATCCATCATCGCACCGACTGCGCCTAAAATAATGCCGGCAGACAAGATGCCTGTGAAATTCCAATGGTGCGAGGCGGGTGTCCGCCACAACGCGATTCCGAGCTCCAGGAAACCGAACTCTTGTGCCAACCCGGTCAGCACCATCGCATGTTGACTGAGGACAGATAAGATGCCAACAGCCGCTAATCCTCCAAGTGTTCCAAGCACACCGGAAATTACCTTGAAACTAAATCCTGTGATAAGGAGGAAGGTCGCGAACGTGAGGAAGGTGGCAATTAAAAGCGCGACTGCAATCGGATTATAACCGCTAATGGTCAGCGGCACCAGTAGGTAAATCACGGTAAAAGCAGTGACAAACAGGGTCAGAATCGCGCGGACCCCTTTCATTCCCGCGACAAGTACCATCAAGATGCCTAATGCACCCGCGAGGTAAAGCAGGAATGGCGTTCGGAAGTACTCACGTATCGACACCGTGTCAATTTTCGGACGCGTCGGATCTCGGAGTGGTATATCGAGGAACAGCACTTCCCCTTTGTGTAATACACGATCTCCAAAGGCGCGTCCCGTCCAAATGTTGTTCACCTGAACAGTCTCCCCACGAAACTGTCCAGAGAGAATACGGAAGACAAAACCTGATCCGCCTCGTCGCTTGTATCTATCTTGACAACGCGTCCCAAGCAGACTAACACCTGCAACGCACCATCGTGCGTCACCTCTGCAAACCGATAGAGTTTTACGTGCAATACAGCAACACTCAATAGGATGAACAATATAGTAACAATTTTGATGTTTCTTTCGCGCATTTTTTTTATGGGCTCCTGGTCTGCTCTCCGCTATAAACATGCCGCCCCGCTGGGGCTGGATCGGTGCTGCGCACTTTTCATTATACGTTTCGGACAGGTTTCCGATCATCCTGTACTGGTTTCGCAGTGAGAATTTTTAAAATCGAACCGTAGGTTTTCTGAAATGAAGAAGCTTAAAATTAGCCTCGAACCCCAAGCCTGAAACAAAGTGGAAGGTGGCTCTTAAGGTAGGCACGTTAAAGTCTAAACCTGCGTCATTTAACCGCAAGGAACATTTATAAAGTAGTTGCAAATAACATGCCAAGCCAGAAACGCCACACTTACGCTACGTGCCACCGATTCAGGTTTCAAAACTGCCCAAATTGGTGCAAAACCAGCGAATAAATTGCACGAAACCGTGCAGGATAGCTGATGAAGGATCACCAAACCTTGAATCAGAGGTGCTTCCGAATGTTCTCTGCGACGCTGCGTGGAATCCCTTTCACAGAGAGCAGTCCATCTAAACTTGCTTCTCGGATCGCTTCGATGGAACCGAAGTGCTGGAGTAGTGCTTGTTTCCGTCTTGGACCGACGTTCGGAATCTCGTCAAGCACCGACGCACTCAGCGACTTTTGGCGGAGTCGCCGGTGGTACGTAACCGCAAACCGGTGCGCTTCATCCCGTAACCGCTGGATCATGTGTAAGGTCGGGTTATCTTCTCGTAACACAATCGGTTCCGATTTACCGGGAACGAAAATTTCTTCAATTCGCTTTGCAAGTGCAATCAACGGAATATCAGGGAGCTGGGATGACGCGGCTTTTGAATAGCAAGTTTTGCCTTGCAAGCTGCGGCAAAAGTTCATAGCCGCTTGTGCCGCGCTTAATTGCCCTTTTCCACCGTCAATCAGCATCAGATCCGGCAGTTTATTAAATTTTTCATCGTCTGCGAGGGCACGACGGAAGCGACGGGTGATAATCTCTTGCATCATCGCGAAATCGTCCTGCCCTTCAACTGAGCGAATCTTGAACCGACGGTATTCCGCTGAAGCCGGTTTTCCATCTTCCAAGACCACCATCGATCCAACTGCAAACCTATCGCCGAGGTTGGAAATATCGTATGCCTCAATTCGTCGGAGAGGGTGTTTTAACCCAAGTAACTCTTGTAGTTCAACGAGTGCTGGTTCCACACCGCTACTGTAAACCACGTTCTGTTCACGCTGGGTTAGGAGAATCTCGGCGTTTTTCGTTGCCAAAATCTGCAACTTTCTGAGCCTACCTGCCTTCGGGACATGCAACCCAACACGGTTCCCCTGTTTCTCACTGAGCCAATTTTCAATCAGCTCCATCGACTCAATCTGCATCGGCAAAACAACCGTTTTTGGCACGAAAACAGCGTTTTGGTAATATTGCGATATGAATGCACTTAACGCAGTAGCGAGCGATTCTGGGTCCGCATCGTTGAGATAGTAATGTTCACGTTCAAGTAGCTTACCATCTCGCACCCGTAGAAGTTGCACGCACGCAATATCAGTCCTCACTGCAATACCGATGACATCCTCATCTGCGGCGGAAACACTATCCATGTTCTGTGTTGTAATCGCCTGTTGAACGTCTTTAAGTGTATCCCGATACTTCGCAGCCGTCTCAAAGTCGAGTGCCTCCGCCGCGGCTTGCATCTGCTCCGTTAGTTCTTTGACAACAGCATTTGTATTTCCACTTAAGAACTGACACACTTTCTGAACTATCTCATCGTAGTCTGGCACATCAATCTTATCGGCACAAGGACCAGGACATCGTCCGATGTGATAATCAAGGCAGACCCGGTACTTATTTCTCACTTCCGCGAGTGGTAGGGTACAGGTGCGGATAGGAAACAACTTCGTCAACTGTTTGAGCGTCTGGCGGGTTGAGCGAGCATGGACAAACGGTCCGAAATATCGCGTCCCATCGTTCTCAGCTTTGCGCGTAATGTGGATACGGGGAAAGGGTTCATTGACGGTCACGCGTAAATACGGATAGCGTTTATCGTCTTTCAGTTTCACATTATAGCGAGGCTGATGTGCCTTTATTAGGTTATTTTCAAGGAGTAGTGCCTCTACCTCGGTCTCTGTGACGATGTAGTCAACCTCGGTAACATACCGCATCATTTGCGATGTCAACGCCGATGTAGATTTCTCGCGACTTCCGACAGCAAGTTTTGGCTTGCCAGCTTCGCCAAAATAGGAGCGCACCCGGGTCCGCAAACGAATTGCTTTTCCAACATAGATGACAGCGCCATCGGAGGCTTTCATCAGATAAACCCCAGGTACATTCGGAAGAGACTGCCATAATTCAGGCAGTGCCTGCGCGTTTCTGACATTGTCCTGTTCTTCTGCCTTCATCTTTTATGCCCCTTTTCGATTCGTGGCATATTGAGCGATTGTATCTATTCTTCAGAGAATTGAAGTTTCGCATAGATTGCCTGCATGGACAACTCACATTCTATCGAAACGAGTCGAAACGTATCCGACAGGGCATGAAATTCTGTCAAATCCCACGCCTGTTCCTGTCGCAAATAGTGCTCAACCCGAACTCTGTCTTGTGAAATGAGGACATATTCACACAAGGAATCAAGTTTCTGATAGGACGCGAATTTCTCACCTCGGTCGTAGGCAGCGGTTGAAGGGGAAAGCACCTCTATCAAAACAGTAGGATTGAGAAGTGTATCAAAATGTGTATCTTCAAAGCGCGGTTCATCACAGACAACGACAACGTCTGGATAGGTATATAATCCGGCCGAACTAACCTTCACGCGCATATCATTGGTGTAAATTTCACACGACCGCGCCCTCAATTGTATGTAAAGTTCACCAGTAACATGAACTGCGATAATATTATGTTTGCGACTTGCCCCCGGCAATGCATACACTTGTCCATTACGGTATTCGCTTTTCGTCAAGGCTTTGCGTTCGCTGGCGAGGTATTCTTCAGGAGTGAAGAACGCTTGTGCCGCAGCAGTTCCCACAGTTTCCATGATTTTCTCTCCTCATTTGGTGTTAGGATAAAGATTTTCATATACCGCTCGATAGATATCCCTGCCTTCCAAAGCGTACTTCATTTCGAAGTTGGTTGCGATGTCCTGATCTGGACTGAGGTTTGCCTCAGCCGGACGCAACAGTGGTAAACCTGCGAGACGCTCCTGAATCTCTTGGAAATATTCCTCATAATCCGTTGCAATATAAAGTCTACCGCCATCGGGATTGAGTGTGTGCGTCAGGGCAGATAGAAAGTCTTGATTCCGAAAAATCCGTCGTTTCCGTTGTCGCTTTTTGGGCCATGGATCCGGAAAGTAGATATGATATGCTTGAACGGATCCAGCAGGCACATACCGTGTCAAGAAGTAGTTGGCATCCGTCCATGCAAGGCGGACGTTTGAAAATGCCCCGGATGCGCTATCCACGCCGAAATGCCGCATGTACTTCTCAAACCGTTCCTGCGTCAATGCGACGTACTTTTGTGCCCGTTCAACGCCAATGTAGTTAACCGCTGGATGCCGCTTTGATGCTTCAAGTAGGAAACGCCCTTTCCCGGATCCAATCTCTATTTCTATCGGATGCGAGTTCCCGAAGAATACTTTCCAATCAATTGGTACAGAAAATTCACCTAATGGCACAGTTCGCTCTGTCACGATGTCGATTATCTGGGAGTGGACAGTTGTATTCTGGTAGTAAATGTCGTTGTAGTGGGGATTTTCACGCATGGCTCACCCGGCTTACGACTCGGACAAAAATTTGTGGAGGTGCGTTTTAACCAAATTGTCCTGCGGTTGATAGCCCAGTACTTCAACCGCTCCGCTTATATCAAGATAACTCTGCTGATACCCATCAGAATTTGCCGAACGTCCGTACGTGATCAGATATTTGACGGGTCCCTCGTAGTCTATAGCCAATCCGAAGAGTTGCACGCAGTCTCGTGGGGTCAGCAATGTGCTACAGTGCCGTATCCCGCTCGGTTCGTACGTGCCGTTGAAACTCCCGATACGGATGCTAATGAACCGCATATCATGTGCGTCAACGAGATATCGTCCTGCGATCTCTGCCATGCCCTTCATTGCGCCGTACCATCCATCGGGACGGAATTGATCGCCTGTTGAGAACCGAGGTGGAGAATTCAACCGCTCATTCCATCCTGAGACATGATTTGTGCTCGCATATACAATCTTCTGAACACCACCTTCTCGTGCGGCTTCAAACAAAGTCATCGACGCACCGATGTCGCTGACTTCACCATGCACCTTTCCAAGCGAATCTTGGCGCACATAAGCCAGATGCACCAACACATCTTGATCGCGACACAATTCTTGCATCGCCGCGTAGTCCCGAATATCTGCCTGTGCCACGCGCGAGTTTGCTCCCATGATCGGATTAATATCCATCAGCGTCAGTGTATAGACATCCTGTTTTTCCCATGCTTGCCAGAGCGCGCTGCCAACGTTGCCAGCCGCACCCGTAATAAGTACCCGTTGTTTCATTTTTTAATTATTCCTTACGGTTTTTTAATTTTACCTTGCGGTTCGGTCAGGTGGGTTTCAAATTTGACAGGTTTCCTTTCCGTATATCCGCCCTCCATTTCATTACGGGCTACGGGTTTTGGTTTACCCAAGACAGCAGCCTGCAACATCGGCGCAGGCGGATTTGATTAACGCACGTCAAAGTCCAAATGCCCGTTGTTTCTCCGCAAGGTATAATTAAAAACCTTTCTTATATCCGCTCTCTATTCCATTACGAACTACGCGTTTTGTTCTATAGAGAAAGGAGACCTGCATGAATAAGAACTTTCCATCAGGATGACACGCCATTTTCAGATGCCAGTGCCGCCATAATATCGGTGTGCACCGCTTTCGGATCCGCCACCGGGTGTACGTAGAACCGATCAATTGCCTGTCCACCTAATCCTGAACACTTACACATCTCAACGTTGAGTCCGAGTTTTGCTAAGATACCGCTGAAGTAGTGAAGGAACCCGACTTTTTCTTCACCGACTACGACAATTTCTGAATAGTTACGTGCTGTCTCAACGCTCACATCGTCAACTTGCCAAGTGTCGCTGATATTGACATAATGTCTCTCAAAAATCTGTTCAAGCGTCACCTCCTCTGCGAGGAGTCCGCGGATGTCAAAATCGAGGTCCCGTTTGAGCTCCTCATCAAGGGGCATCGGTTCTCCCCGATGATGGGGCGGTTGATGTACAAGCCGATAGATTTCAAGTTCAATGTTGGTATCCTGTTTCGTGTAGACACGAGCATCCCGAACATCTATGCCGTTCGCGAAAAAGAGACCGCTCACCGTGTGCAGCTTTCCAATGCGGCTCGGACTACAGAGATGTAGTTCAGTAAATCCGGGTTGGTCGACAAATTGAGTGATCCCTGTGCTTGATGTTGCTTTTGTCTCTGTAGACGCGGCTTCGGCTTGCGATGTCATCTTTATGTGCATGGCTATCTCTTCAGGAGAGACGCTGATACGGTAGGAAACCGGCATGTGGTGAAGGAATTGCTGGAACTCTTCAACAGGTGCGAAGGCACCCCACTGCGTTTCTTCCGGTCCAACAAAGCGGGTGCGAGAAACCTCGTACAAGCTCTTCAGATTGTGTTTAACAACATGACTGAAGTTCTGTGAACCGTTCGCTTTGGAATCGCAATAAGTGAGCAGATACAGAGCAGTCAAACGCTCTAACGAGTTAACCTTCTTACAGAATTCGGAAATTGTACTTTCATCCCAATGATGATAGCGTGCCAAATCTATCATTGTCAGGTGTTCTCGAATGAGAAAGCAAATATCATCCGTCTGTTGTGCGTTGAACCCAAATTCGGGTGCGATGCGCTCTGCTTTTTCTGCACCGGTCGTCGGATGGTTTGGATCTGGTTTATCTATATCGTGAAGGAAGAGTGCCATAAAAAGTGGAGCAGCGTCTGAAAGTGAGCGAAACGCCGTGTTGAGATCCTCTAATTCAGAAGTCGGGGTTGGCGATATCGGTGAACCGAAACCTGCACCACCGAGCGGGCTACTTGGTTCCGTTCGACGAATTTCATCGAGGTGCCCAATCGCAACGAGTGTATGTTTCCCGACTGTATACGGATCAAGGCTTCGTTCGCTCCGGGTCATCATCGCCCTTTCAAAAAGTTCCCCACCTTCTCCAAGGTGCGATAGGATATTGAGTCGGTGCAGGCGTGTGAGGGTCTTCTCTACATCACCCGGTATATTCATCAACTCTGCCATCCGATTCCGGAAAGAACGCCAATCAAACGCATGAACATACCGAGATATGAATGTAGAAAGGGAGGCATCAATTTCAAAGTCGTACTGTTGGAAGTAGGTAAACAGCGTAAAGAGCTCGTTTACATTGAGTTCACCGAAGTTATTATCGATGCAATACAGCATTTCTATCCTCACGGCAAGCACGTCCGAGATAGGAATCCCGTTCGCCAACATCTTCCGAATCAGAAGTTCCGCTTTGAAATGCAGATATTTTGCCATCGTATAATACTCAGCCATGAACTTATAACGTCCCTCACCGGTTTCATCTGCAAATCCGAGTACCCGAGCGATCTGTGCTTGAAGTACATCACCTTTTTCAGGATGATAGGTGAGGTTGTCATGCGGTGCATCGGCGAGAACATGGAGAAGATTCCGCACCTTGAACATGAAATCAAGGGACGGGATGAGTTGCCCCTCATCATAGCGTTCGTAGAGCTCAGGAATTGAAGTGAAATTTGGGAGTCCGCATATCCAGAGCGCGTACTGAAGTGTTCGTAGCCCGCCCCTTCCTGTTTTCACATTCGGTTGATTGAGATAGATCGTCTCCTCAGAAGCTTCAAAAGAATCTGCTTTTGATTTCAGCAGGTCCAGCACAAGCGAGATATCCGATTTTCCAGAGGACACCGCTTTTCGGAAGTGCTCAGTTAGCGTTGCCTCGCCAGCGATAAACCGCATATCGATCAACGCTGTCATATCCTGATAGTTCCATTGGGCAATATCCGCCAAGGGACGATAGATGAAGCTGAACTCAAACCCCGGAATCACCGAGTGGAGACTGTCGAAAAAATCGTAGAACCATCGGATAAGTTCGAGGGTACTCTCATCGTAAATATCCTCTAAGTCCACAGAGGACGTATAAATAACGTCCACGTCCGAATAATAGCAAAGTTCATTTCTGCCGTAACTGCCGACGCCATAGAGTGCGACATCCGGCACCCATTCCTCCAATTCTGTTTCTAAGTCGTTTGTGTCAAAGTCTGGAAGTTGCTTCAGCACGTCGATCTGCTTCTGATATTCGTCATGAATCTGAAAATAGGCTACCTCGTAGACCTTCTGAATAACTGCATCCCACATCTCCGTGTGAATCTTACAAGCCGCAAATCCGCTTTCCCCTTTCAAGATGCGGGCTTTCAACTGTTCCCGCTCCGCTTGTATGAAAGCAGTTAACTGTTTTTGCAAATCTTCAAAAGGCACATTCAGGTCTGGTACATAGCGATTGAGTTGTTTTTCGATCTGTCTGGTTTCCATTTTCCTCGCGCCTCCAATGTATCAGAGCAATCCAATTGTTGCAGAGTCCTCTTGAAATCGCCAAGTGAGTAAGATTTTCAGTCAAGCCTAATTATACGCCAAACACCCAAAAAAAACAAGCGCGTTTTTTAGTGCTACCTTTTCTCACGGGTGCACTTCCCAATTGCCCGTTTTTTCCTTGACACACTTTTCAAACGTTGCTAACATACGCGATCAGGGGACCTAAAAATGAGTGACATCAAACATCGCGTAGCCATCATCGGCTGTGGACGGATGGGGCAAAATTACGCGGAGGCATACACCACTTATCCCGATACGGAAATCGTTGCGATCGCCGATGCCAATGTGCAACGGCGGGATGTTCTCGGTGCCCGCTTTGACGTTTCGGCTCTTTATCCAGATGTGGAAGCGTTATTACGGGACATTGTGCCAGACATCGCGGTGGTCGTCACGCCCACGAAATACATGAAAGATGTGGTGATTGCGTGTGCCGAAGCCGGTGTCAAAGGTATCTCTACTGAGAAACCGATTGCCGCGTGTTTACAAGATGCCGATGCAATGGTTGAAGTATGTGCCGAACGGGGTGTTGTATTTGCCGGAGGCAACCTTCAACGCGCCATGAATGAGGTTCAGGAGGCGGCATCTCGGCTCCATAACGGCGAATTGGGGGAAATCAGAGGCGCGAGCGTTCATGGGTTCGGTGGCGAAATCTCTGGTGGCGGATGCCAGCACATCTCCGTACTACGTCTGTTCACCAATGCTGAGGTTGAGGAAATCATCGCATGGGGAACCCCTCCTGAAGCGTTAGACGCAGAAACCGATGAGGGTCTAATCATCAACGGGCGTTTTCATCTGACGAACGGTTTGGAATGCAGTGTCTTCGGAACCCCAACGTCTTGCCGTGGTGTAGATGTTTGGACAGACGAATGCCTCGTCCGATGGGATTGGAACCCACCTGAAATTTTCAAAGGCTACGACCCGCACGGCAATCGCGTCCGTATTGATACCAACTACAACCCATATCCGTGGAATGAATTCAGTTACCTCACAGGCTCCATTCGCTCCTTCTTAGCGGCTGTTGATGGCAACGGACACCCGTGGATTACAGGCGCCGATCTCCGACAAGCGTTGGAGGTTGCCATTGCTGCGAAACTCTCCGCAACCCGAAACAGCACACCCGTCAAACTCCCGCTTGAAGACAGATCTTTGGCTTTATATCCACGTCCCTATCGGTGGATCGGCGGGGATGCAACCGGTAAACCTCAGAGTGTCACAGAAGCGACAGGTTTTTAATTTTACCTTGCGGATTTTCAATTATACCTTGCGGAGGAAAAACGGGTATAGGAACTATGGACTCCACCTCTTATATCCGCCCTCCGCTACGCTTACGGGCTACCGGGTTTGATACTATCTTAGGAGACCCCAAACGAATCGCCTGATTTAACGCCTTGCGAATAATTAAAAAAGGAGGAACTACCAATGAACGAAGATCAAAAATATCTATTCGATTTGACCGGATACCTCATCGTCGAAAACGCTTTGACGGCAGAAGAGGTCGCCCAGTGCAACGCTGCCATCGACCATCATATTGAAGGACTTCGGGAACGCGACACCTCTCTGGCAGGCGGATCAGCCGCACTCGGTGGCACAGCACACCGAATGGACATGGGTGGCATGCTCGCCTGGGAAAAACCTTGGTGTGAACCGTTCCGAAATTTGCTCGTCCATCCCAATATTAAACCGTACTTTGAAGAGGTTTTGGGTAAACAATATCGACTCGATCACGGTCCGGGCTTAATCGCTATGGGAAAAGATACGGAAGGTGGCACTTTACACGGTGGTGGGATCGAACGTCCCAATTTCTCCGAAGCTTACTTCTTCAAATACGGACGCATATACACAGGTTTGACTGTCGTCGAATACATGCTTGCTGACGAAGGTCCTGGTGACGGTGGTTTAGCTATCATACCTGGGAGCCACAAGGCAAACCTTCCGTGTCCAAGTGGTATGAGGCGGTACGAGCAGTATCAGAAGCATGTTGTCGAAGTCAATGTCAAGGCTGGCGATGCCGTGATTTTCACTGAAACACTGACGCACGGTACACTCCCGTGGAAGGGCAACCATCAACGACGCGCACTACTTTACAAGTTCAGTCCCGGATTCCAAGCGTACAGCGCAGGCGCACACCAAATCACATATCCTGATTACATTGAGGATATGTCTCCTGAGCAGCGAGAAGTCATGGAGGCACCCCACATCCGACACTAACCTGTAGGGGCGACCTCCAGGTCACGACGCTTCACTTGCTGGTGAGGTTTGAAACCTCGCCCAATTTGAAATGCACATAGGAATAATCTCCAGATCTCGACACTTCATTTGTTGAAGGAGAAAACGATGTCGAAACTACGAGTTGCTGTCATCGGCTGCGGCGGTAGAGGTCGCGGTCACATGAAAATCCTCTCAGAATTTGACGATACGGATCTCGTTGCCGTTTGCGATCCAGTCGAAGCGGCACGCGATAACGCCGCGGACATGTTCAACGTCCCGACTCGCTACGAGAGTATTGAGGCACTGTTGGACAATGAAGCCTTGGATGCCATTTTCGTCGCTACACCCGCACACCTTAACGGTGAGGCAGCGCTCCCCTGTTTTGAACGCGGTGTCCATACGCTTTTGGAAAAACCACCCGGCATGAGCGTCTCAGAAACAGTCGCTTTGCGGAGTGCCGCAGAACGGACGGGCGCGAAAGGGATGGTAGGCTGGAACCGCCGCTTTCACCCGATCATCGTCGAAGCGAAACGCCAAGTCACCGCACGCGGTCCCGTGACGCAAATCGTCGGTGAATTCCACAAGAGCATCACTCGATTAGCGCAGTCCAGTAAATTCCCAGAGCACTTGATGGACAACATGTTTCTGGAGACACCCATCCACGCACTTGATGCGATCCGCGCCATCGCTGAAGCCGATGTCCAAGAGGTCCATAGTGTCGTTCAGCGGACAATCTCAGATTACAAAGATGTCCACGCGGCACTCATTCTGTTTGATAATGGTTGTGTCGCCCAACATATTGCCAACTACACCACGGACGCGCGCCTTGAGCGTTATGAGATTCACGGCAGAGACATCTCCGCCTATCTTGAGGGAGTCTCCCGTGGAACCGTTTTCTGCGATGGCACGCAACACGAAATCACCGAAGCAGGCACCGGCGGTACTGTGGAGCAAAATAGGTATTTCTTGGATTGTGTCAAATCCGATACTCCCGTTTCGCTCCCTGCTGCTAACCTTGACGAGGCTGTTAAAACCATGCAACTCGCCGAAGCAATCCTCAGTGGATTGCGCTGATTGATTGCTGTTGAGGCACTGGCAGGGGAAGACAAAAATTAAACGGTAGCCTGCAACAGCGGCGCAGGCGGGTTTAAGGAACGCACTTGATAGTTTAAACGTATGTCATTCCTCCGCAAGGTAAATTATGAAAATAGGGAAAAACGATGCCAACATTAGACGAACACTATGAAGCCTATAAAACCGATGGTTTCACAATCTTTGAGAAGGTTTTTGACGAATCCCAAATGCAAAGTTGGCGGGACAAACACCAAGAACTCTCCACAGCCAATGACGGGCAAATGTGGTTCGGAAATACGCTTGAATTGGTGCCTGAACTGATGTGGCCCACTGTCTCGCATCCGACAATTCTTGAATTTTTAGAAAAGGTGATGGGTCCTTTCGTGCAATTGGATAACCTCACGCTCGCTGCGTTTGCGTCTATGGAACAGGAAAAGGCAGAAGGCAAGGTCTCTGGCTGGCACCGTGACCGCTGGGCGCATGTCCCCTACACCGATGCCTATCACCGCCCAAACGCTATCAACGCTATATCTTATTTGCAGGACTTAACGGATGAATACGGACCCCTCCGCGTCATTGTCGGTTCGCATCGAAAACCGATTACCATGGAAGATTCGCAACGTGGTGTCCCGCATCCAGACGAAACACTGGTCCACATGAAAGCTGGTGATGTCGTTATCACACATAACGGACTCATCCACTCCGGCACACCGAATACCTCCGGAAATTTACGCTATTTCTTCAGCATCTATTATAACCTGACATGGCTGAAACACACCGATCATCACACGGGACCCCATACTCAAAATTTGTTGGAAACTGCCAAAGCCACCAATAACTATCAGCACATGCGGCTCCTCGGTGTGGATGAGCAACTCCAACCCCGATGCAACTCCGGCTTCCTCCGCTCCGACGAGGAACGCTGGGAAGAGTGGGCAACCACTGACCGAGAAGCGATAAGGGAGGTATAACCGATGGCAAATCCAAGTGTAGTGCCGTCAACACTCAACGTAGAACTGGATTACCAGCTGCAACAAGAGGTCAACTTCTTTCTCAATTGGGGATACCTCATTGTCGACAACGCCGCAACGCCAGAACAGATTGCGTCGCTCCGAGAGGCACTTGATGAAAGTTACGAACGCAACAACAAAAGTCAATTCATTGGTGAATTGCTGGAGGAGGATGATCGGTTCGCATTTCTGTTAGACAATCCGCCTGTGCTAAAGCGGATGGAAGCCATATTGGGGACCTGTGTCCAACTCCACAGCGCGACCGCGCGCATTACTGAACCCGGAACGCCAGATCAGCATTGGCATCGGGATGGTCCCTGGCCCGTCGCACCGAACGGAACACCTTACGGGAGCCTCCCCGCACAGATTAACTGCGGCTATTATCTCGACGAAGTCACCGATGAGAACGGTCCCACGGTTATCCAACCCGGCAGCCACAGGGCACTTTTCCGTCCACCCCCGACTCCTGTCGAATTGCCCGATGAAAAACGGGTACTCGTCTCCCCCGGACAAGCGGTTATGTTCGACGGATGGACATGGCATCGGGGCTCGGCTAACAATTCTTCAGAAAGTCGACGCGTCTGCCTGATGTGCTACCAGAACGCGTGGATGAAGTCTCGTGAACCCTTTGACGGTACTCGGGTCACAAAACTCCGAGAAGAGGGTACATCCCAGCAGAAGCTTTTACTCGGCGCAATCCCAAAATGGTGATAGCACCCACTACCTAAAGGCAGGGGCTTCGGCTTCGTAGACAATAGCGGTTTTCCCGAAGGTCTGCCGTCTTACGTTGTCTCCACCAGCGGGCGTTTCCCTGTAGTATCCTACAGGCATATCGTTAGGTAACGGGCTATCCCTGCCCGCAATATGTTTATAGCAGCGTTTATATCCCTATCGTGGTGAGACGCACATTCGGGGCAAGTCCACTGCCTATCGTTTAGAGTCAGGTTTTCGTTATGAAAGCCACAATCACTACACGGTTTCGTTGTGGCTGTCCATTGACCAACTTGACGCAATTCACGCTTATGTTTGCTACACTTATACTTCAATATCTCAACAAACTGGTAGAACGCAAGGTCGGAGACTTTACGCCCCCACAAGCGTTTCATACCGTCAAGGTTCAAGGTTTCAATGGAAATCGTATCAAACTTCTTACAGAGTTCGCTTGCGAGTTGCCAATGAAAGTCTTTGCGTTGGTTGCTGATTTTCCGATAGAGATGTGCTATTTGTCTGACACACCACCACCAACCACCAGAACCTTTGACTTTGCGAGAAAGTTCTTTGTTGAGAGACTGAAGTTTATTCAAGGATTGTTTCAAGGGTTGTGGGTGCTGTTTCTTCTCACCTGTGCTAAGCGTCAAGTATGCGTCTTTCATACCGAAGTCCGCCCCAACGCTTTTACCTGTTACGGGCAGAGGTTTAAAATCCGTGTAGGTTGTTATTATACAAAGATAGTAGTTTCCGCAAGCGTCACGCTTGATTGTGATACGCTTTACTTTACCATGCCACTGACAGTGTTTATGGAACGTATATGCGACTTTATCATATCGCCATTTACCCTTATCCCATTTGCGGAATGTAATTACAATACGATTGTTAGTGAGTTTATACCCAGTCTGTTTTAGGGTAATAGACTTAAATTTATGGCGGGGTTTAATATGGGGTTTACCCCCCAGTTTCTTAAAGAACCTTTGATACGCATTATCAATACGTTCCAGTTCCGCTTGGATGGCTTGACTTGGCAAGGCGTTCCAATGCGGGTGTGTGGTTCGCTTGAGTTCTGTCAAGTGGATACACATGCCCTCATAGTTGACATACGGCAGACCGTCTTTATATCTTTGATCTTGCCACCTATGGAAGTATTCATGCACCTGCCACATATCGTCAAGCAAGTTGCCAATGCGGATTGTATTAGATTGTTTCCCTACCGGGTATTTATAGGTTTTCATGGACTATCAAGTATCAAGTCTTTAACCCCTGTGAAGTAGGTAGGCAGACACGTAACCTTGCGATTACGCTTCACATGTCTGCCAACTTGATACTCTAATTATATTACGTTTTTAGGCGAATGTCAAATCTTTTTTTATCATAATCCTATACGCCGTCTATATCCCTCACCTAAAGGCAGGGGCTTTGACGGAATATAGGTAAAGTAGTAGGCACGCCGTCGTGTGCCTATAAAACGAAGGAATCCAGAAATGAATCTCGCTTATATTGTTATTGATACACTCCGCTACGACTACATCGGTGCGAACGGAAATGACTGGATAGAAACACCCAACATCGATCGGTTTGCCTCCAAAGCCTTGGCATACGATTATGCTTTCTGTGCCAGTTTTCCGACTATTCCCTATCGGACCGATGTCATTACTGGACAATACGGCGCGCCTATCCATCCTTGGAAACCGCTCCGCCACGAACGCCAAACTTTACCGTGGACGCTTGCAGAAAACGGCTACGCGACGCAACTCATTCACGATACACCGCACCTCGTCAATGGGGGACATAACTTTGATTGGCCCTTCCACGCGTGGACATTTGTTCGCGGCGCGGAAGTAGACAGAGACTGGATCGCTGATACCGTAGTATGGCCCGATAACTGGACACGTCAACCCCTCTTTGATTGTATCGATGACAAAGCCGCCGAATCAGGCATGCTCCGCAGTTACGCACGTGCAAACAGAAACCGCAAAAAACCTGAAGATTGGAACTGCGCACGGCTCTTCAACACTGCCGCGCAATTCCTCAAAGACAACGCCAAGCGAGACAATTTTTTCCTCTGGATAGATTGCTTCGATCCTCACGAACCTTGGGATTCTCCGCTTGAGTTCATGAAAAAATACGATACCCGTCCGGGTTACGATGGACGCGTTGATCCGCGTAGTCTTGGCGCGAGGGGTAATGCGCAGCTCTCAGATGAAGCGAAACAACACATCAAAGCGCAATACGCCGCTAAACTCACATGGATGGACCACTGCTTCGGGCAGTTCCTTGATGCACTTGAATCTACGGGGCTTGACAAGAACACCGCTGTTATCTTAACGGGCGACCACGGCACGAACGTTGGGGAACGTGGTAGGTTTGGCAAAGGACAACCCGTTCGTCAGCAGGAGGCGCATGTCCCACTCTTTATTCGGCTCCCGGATGGGGACAGAGAAGAAGGTGGGGGCAGAAGCAGCGTCATCGTCCAACCGCAAGACTTCTACCCGACAATTCTCAATATTTTGGGAGAGGCGCGTCCCGACGGCATTGAGGGACACGACATCTTAACCCCGGCGCGCAACGGGGAAGCTGGTACAAGGGAGCTTGCACTCTCAGGTGGCAGTATTGAGCGGTGGGAGAACAGCACAGAGAACCCGAATCTCAATCTCTTCACCGTTTTTGATCGTGAGTGGAGTTTAGAGGTCGGCACGAAACCTGAAAATTCAAAACTCGTCCGACTCGGTGAATTAGACGACGTTGCGAGTGAACATCCCGATGTTGTTGCCAAACTGCACGCCGCCGCTGTGGATGAGATCGAACGCCGCGGCACCGATCCCGCACTCATCGCATGGCTCCGGAGTGGTGGCGAAGACGCTTTCCCTGCCGATGCCCACTACTGGAACGGTTTCCCCGGACCTGCAGGCTTCCGTCCCTACTTCGGGAAACTCTATACCGGTGAGTAGTTTTTTCAGCTTTTCCCAATCGCGGTAGGTGCGGTTTTGCGGTGTCCTCGCCCAAAATTCCAACCGCACCCCACCACTTCACAATTTCCAATAAGTTTGACAACGGTTCGGAATTCTGATAACATATTTTAACAATAATACACCAAGGAAAAGTCACCCCTTTCCTTTAAGGAGTTCCCTGATGAAGAAATCAGACCTCCAGCAGCAGGCAGTGATGTTAATCGAGCGACTTCCGACCGAAAAACTCAGAGCCGCTATCGATTATATGAACTATCTCTACGATAAGGAAGCATGGGAAGCAACGTACGAATTGGCAAGCGACCCCGAAATTGTCAAAAGCTTAGAACAAGCTGAAGCCGATGTGAAAGCCGGTAGACTTAAAAGTTGGGCTGATGTTAGACGCGACGTTTGAAAGGCAGTTTACGAGCAGGCGAATAATCTGCTCAAAAGCCCTTGAACCCGATTTTCAGCCCCATTGGGGCATTATATTTATAGGAGAAAACCATGCCACGTACATATAAAGCCTGTCTCATCGGATGCGGACGGATGGGCGCGACTATCGACGACGAAGTCGCAGGTCGCCCTGATAGTTTTATTTGGCAACCCTTTTCGCACGCAGCAGCCGCTGTCGCTTGTGAACGAACCGATCTCGTCGCTGTCTCCGATGTCTTTGCCGAGAAAGCCGAAGCCATCAGGAAACGCTACGGAGCCGAGCGCGCCTATACAGATTATCAAGAGATGATCGTAAAAGAGAAACCCGACATCATCTGTATCGCCACGCGTCCCGGTCCACACGTCGACATCACTGTCTTTGCCGCCGAAAATGGAGTCAAGGGCATCTACTGTGAAAAACCGCTCTGCTGCTCTATGGAAGAAGCAGACATCATGGTAGATATTGTTCAAAAGCACGGTGTCAAATTCAACTACGGCACGCAACGCCGTTACATGCCAATCTATCGCAAAATCCGTGAACTCGTCGATGCTGGCGAAATCGGCGATGTCCAATGCTCTATCGCCCAATACGGAGCCAGTTCTGCCCTCTGGGGCTTAACTCACGCCGCAGACATGCTCCTCTTCCTCGCGGGTGACCCGGAGGTAGACTTCGTGCAAGGCGCGATTATATGCAAAGATTCAGATTGGGATGGCAACCGTCTCAACGTTGACCCCGGTATCGCCTCGGGTTACATCCGTTATTCCAACGGGGTCCACGGCTATAACACCGCAGGTACCGGACCCGAATATGAAGTCTGCGGCACCGGCGGCAAGATCCGTGTGCAAAACAACAGTAGAGAAATTCAATTCCGAAAAAAGGACGGGACCTTCTTTGAAGAGGTGCCGTTCCCAGAAACATCCCGCGCCACTGGCACCGTCATGGGCATCACCGACATCGCCGAAGCACTCGACGAAGACCGCGAGACTAAGGGACCCGTCCACCTCGCGCGTCGCAGTCAAGAGACGCTCATGGGCATGATCGAATCGCATCGGCTCGGCGGCAAGCACATCTCACTCCCCATGGAGAATCGATCTCTCTACGTTACCAGAGACAACTGGTAAAATGTCCCTTCCCCATTTTATCTTGTTCGGGCGGGTCCCCGTGCCCGCCCATTCCGCCAAGTTACAGACATGAACTTAGAAACCCAAATCCAGCAATTCCGAGAAACCTTTTACACTGTCAAAGCCGAAGTCCAAAAACGCATTGTCGGTCAAGACGCAATTGTTGAAGGCGTGCTTTTCTGTCTACTCGCCAACGGACACGCGCTCCTTGAGGGTATCCCGGGTTTAGGGAAAACGCAGCTGATTTATACCCTCAGCGAGGCACTCGATCTCTCCTTCAAGCGTATCCAATTCACGCCGGATATGATGCCCTCCGACATCACAGGTACAACGCTCCTCATTGAAGACGAACACGGCAGAAGGCAGTTTGAATTCCAGCAGGGGCCCGTTTTCTCCCAACTCATCCTCGCCGACGAGATCAACCGCGCCACACCGCGCACCCAATCCGCACTCCTTGAGGCGATGCAAGAGCGTACTGTCACCGTCGGACGCACCAGCCACAAGTTAGAAGAGCCGTTTTGTGTTCTCGCCACACAGAACCCGTTGGAAATGGAAGGCACCTATCCGCTCCCAGAGGCACAACTCGACCGGTTCCTATTCAAACTTCACATCGACTTTCCGAACGAAGATGAGATCGTCGAAATTCTACGTCGTACCACGTCCGGTGCCGAGATCACTATTGACAAGGTAACGAACACCGAGACGCTCAACCAGATGCGTCAACTCGTGCCGCAGGTCATCATTGCTGAGCATGTCGAACGCCACATTATCCGACTCGTCCGTGGTACACACCCCGATTCCAAGAACGCGCCAGAGACCGTCAAACGCTACGTCCACCTCGGTGCGGGGATTCGGAGTGTCCAAGCGATAGCACTCACCGCCAAAATCAATGCCCTCCTCGATGAACGTTACAACGTCGCTTTTTCGGATATCGATGCCGTATTGCTTCCCGCGCTCCGGCACCGCATTCTTCTCAACTTCGAGGGGCAAGGCGAAGGCATTGAACCCGATGCCATTGTCAACGAAGTCCAAAACGCACTTTCGGAGAGGTAGAATCATGCTATATTATCACTTTTCATAATATGGAATTCTATATTATGAAAAGTATTCAAAAATAAAAATATGGAATTCTATATTGCGAAAAATTCGCACACTACCGACAACTCCAATCCTTGCAAGAATACGTCCTCGTCTCCCAAGACAAGGTGCGTATTGAACACTATGTCCGACACGCAGCGCAGTGGATTTTGACTGATTTTCAAGAACCTGACCAGCAACTGCCACTTACCTCAATCCAATGCGAATTACCCTTACAAGAAATATACGAACGCATCCTATTCCCTGAGTAGCACCAATACCCAAAGACCGCACCTTCCGCTGCTGGCGAGGTTTTCCAACCTCGTTTCTTCTTGTATACTCACCTTTCTGTCCCTCAATCCTTGGTAGGTGCGGTTTCCCAACCGCACCGTAGCACAAAAAGACACCTATATCCCGCTGGCGAGGTTCCTAACCTCGCCTCTGTGCATACAAAATTTTCCTTGACACCGCACCATAATTTTCGTATAATTAACGTGAGGTTGATAATAATTGAAGAGTGTTTGTATAAAAAAGAGAAACCCTTGTTGTATAATGAAGTGATAAGGTTTCATTTCTTCCACCAAAAGGAGTTCTCCGATGAATATCATAACACTTTTCTGCGAAATAGACGACTTTTTTCTTGCTTATGAGAAATGGGTGTCAACACAGTGTCTCCCAGAGACGACCCCCCTTGAAACACGCGGGCGACCGAGACGGCTGCATCCGAGCGAGGTGATGACGCTACTGATCGCCTTCCATCAAAGTGGGTATCGGACATTTAAGCATTTTTATCTCAAACACGTCTGCGTCTATTGGCGCGATGAGTTCCCACATCTGGTGAGTTATAGTCGTTTCGTGCAGCTGCAAAAAGAAGTGTTGACGGTCTTGACGTTTTATCTTTCAACACACCTCGGCACTTGTAGCGGGATCTCTTTCGTGGATTCCACACGTTTGCGCGTCTGCGATAACAGGCGGATTTCATCGCATCGCGTCTTTGTGTCAGAAGCGGGATGCTCGAAAACATCTATGGGGTGGTTCTATGGTTTTAAACTTCATTTGGTTATCAACGAGCAAGGCGAAATCTTAGACGTTGAGTTGACCCCTGGTAATACGGATGACCGTAGACCTTTGCCAAAGTTCGCCGAGGGGCTCCACGGGAATCTCTATGCGGATCGGGGGTATATCTCCAAAGACCTTCGGGAACAGCTCCGTGCGCAAGGGATCAACTTGGTTTACAAGGTCCGAAAGAACATGAAACCCCTGGACTTATCCGTTTGCGATGAGGTGTTGCTGCGAAAGCGGATGCTTATTGAATCGGTGATCCGGGAACTGAAAACGCAGACGCAGTTGGAACACTCACGGCATAGAAGTTTTGAAAACTTTCAAGTCAATGTCGTTTCTGCTTTGATTGCTTATCAGCTTTGCGAGAAAAAACCTTCCCTGAACATTCATGAACTTCAGGACATCAACGATTTACCAATGCTCTATAACCCATAAACCTTTTTCAAACTCACGTTATAATTTAAACAAAATTAACAATGCACCGCCCCAGACAGCGGAGCAGAGACCAGAAATATATGCAAGAATCCTTACAAAAACTACAAAATCTCCTGCAACAGCTCTTCCGGGCAGATGCTGCCGACCTCGACTTCGGCATCTATCGGATTATCAATTACCGACGCGACCAACTCCAAAACTTCATTGATGAGAAACTACCGGCCATCGTTCAAAATGCCCTTGACACAAACACCGAAACAGAATCCGCACGCCGAGAACTTGAGGATTTAAAAAAGCGAGTCAAAGATGCCTTTGGCGATGATGTGATTAGATGCAGACGGGAATCTCATTGACGAAACCATAAGAGATCGCCCACTGGTTAAACAATACCTTGAAGCGAAAGAACAACTCGGCTCTCCACAAACCCGATACCAGCGCGAAGATGTTGTCTATAACCACCTCTATACCTTCTTCTCTTTCGTTACTATGATAATGGCGACTTTATTCCGCGTCGACGCTATTCTCAAACCGAACGCTACGCCATCCCATACAACGGTGAAGAGGTCTACCTCCACTGGGCAAACCGTGACCAGTACTACGTCAAGAGTGATGAACATTTCTCCGCTTATAGATTCAAATCTCAAGCATCACCGTTACCTTTGATCTCCGCGATGTAGACGTTGAAAAAGATAATGTCAAAGGGACAAAACGTTTTCTTTATCCCAATACCTGCTGAGACAACCTATAAACCCGAAACCCATAACATCTGCATCCCCTTTGAATACCGTCCACTTACCGATGAAGAAAAGAAAAAATACAGTGGACAAAAGCAACAGGACAAAATCATTGAGACTGCTGAACCTGAAATTATAAGATGTCTGACGGATCATTACGATGCGCTATCTGCCTTAGAACACCGAACAGAGGCGAAACTACCTTCAAGAAACACCTCCGTATCTACACTCGACGCTAACACCGCAGACTTCTTCATCCACAAAGACCTCAAACAGTTTCTCAATCGTGAACTTGATGTTTATATCAAAAACGAAGTCTTACCCTTATTCTCACTCATTTTCGAGGATGCTAATTTTCAAGAGGATAGGTTAACGAACGTAAATTGGATTGAAACGGCAAAACTCGTTCACCAGATCGCCTCCCAAATCATTGAATTTTGTCCCACATCGAAGAATTTCAAAAGACACTCTGGCTGAAAAAAGAAGCTTGTCCTCTCCACTGACTACTGCCTCACACTTGATCGCGTTCCTGAAGAATTCTACCCCGAAATTGTACGGAACGATGCACAACTCATGAATGGAAAGATCTATTTGCAATTCACGAAATAGAAAGCACCTGATCAGCACCAAGTACACTGAACCCCTCTCCATCGACTTTCTCAAAGAAAATAAAAATCTCGTCTTGGACACCTGTCACTTTGATTCTGACTTCAAAGATCGGCTTTTAGCACACTTTGATGATCTAGATAACAACACAGATGGCTTGTTAATTCACGGTGAAAACTTTCAAGCACTAAATCTACTGATAGAAAGATACCGTGAATCAATAAAATCCATCTATAGTGACCCACATATAACACGAATGCTCTGCAATTCTATATAAAAACAATATATAGAGATTCTTCATGGATGTCACTAATGCTGACCGGATTCCAGTCGCGCTCGAAATGTTGGTTGATAACGGTATGTTCTGTACCGCTATTGACGACGTGGAGGCTGCTAACCTTAGACAGTATCCTTCAGCATTTATTTGGAAAGAAATGAACTCGCTGTTGTAGCAGTCTGTTCTAAACCCTGGAGGGCGTTTTAAAAGACCGTCTAGTTTCGCACCTGCCCATGAATACGCAATGTTCTTTGGATCCTCTGATGCTTCGCAAGTTGGTCGTCTTAAATGGACAAAAAAACAACTTGAGAAATATTCAGAGGAAGACAAAAAAGGCAAATTTGGTTGGAGACCTCTTAGAAAATCTGGAGGTCCTAATACACACCGAGAGGCGAGTCCGCGTCTATTCTACCCGCTTTTTGTCAAAAATAACCAGATCCGTATTCCCAAAATGAAATGGGATGACGTTGCTCGAGAATGGAAATTATTAGAATCTCCCAGCCAGATGAAAAGTTGTTTTTGCCTATTAATTCAAACAATGAGCACATGACTTGGGGATTTGGGATTGAAACCTTAAAAGAAAAATTACTCTTATCTGAATTATCGGCTACAACCGATGCAGACGGTAATGTCAGAATCCGCTTTAAAAGGTATCTAAATAAAGACGGAACGCTACCTACAACGTGGTGGGGTAGTAAAGAATACTCAGCAACTGCCCACGGCACACGCTTTCTGACAAATATGCTTGGTAATGCACTTGCATTCTCTATTCCCTAAATCCATTCATCTAGTTCAGGATTGTCTACGCGTTTCTTCTCTGGGTAAAAATGATACTGTGCTTGATTACTTCGGAGGATCTGGCACCACCGCACACGCCACCGTTAACCTCAATCGTGAAGATGAAGGTAATCGCAAATACATCCTCATTGAGGTGGGACATCATTTTATACTGTCTCAAACTCGCGCGGGTCATAAAAGCCATCTATTCAGAAGAGTGGAAAGATGCCAAACCAGTCTCACGTGAAAGTCACCTCTCTCATATCATCAAATACCAACGCATTGAATCCTATGAGGACGCACTCAACAATATCGAATTCACCGAAACCGAACGTGAGAATCTGTTTCATGACGAACACCAACTTAGTTATCTGTTTGGGAGCAAAACCCGCGACGAGTCCGACGTTTTTGAACGTTTCCGAACTCCAAAATCCGTTCAGTTATCAACTCAACATCGTCAAAGATATGCAGACGCAGAAACAGTCTGTAGATTTACCGAGACCTTCAACTACCTCCTCGGTGTCTCTGTTCAAACTCGGCAATGCTTGAAAGATAGTGAGAGAAAGTACCTCGTCTATAAAGGCACAGTGGGACAAAAAAACGTTGTCGTTATCTGGCGTGAGACCAAAGATTGGAATGGACAGGATTGGGAACGAGATTACCGTTTCATTCAAGAACATGAATTCACAGAAGGAGCGGACAAGGTATATGTCAACACTGACAGTATCATCCCAGAAGCAGAGTCTTTAGACCCACTTTTCAAACGATGAGTTTGCGGTAGACTCCAATTTGGGATATCCTGCTAAATAGTCCGTGGGATAGGGTTTTGTGACTTGCCATTGTTGTAACAAAAGGAGATTGTGTGATAGAATCGCGCCATTCTATAACCATTGTACATCCTGATCAGACAGAAGAACAACAATACTTATGCCCAGAAACAATTCACAACGTACACTTGATAATCATCTCACCCTTCACGGATGGCTCAACAGTCACTTCGGGTATAAAACCACACGCGACCTCCTCGACGAACGTGGAAACAAGTGGACGAAGGCTTCAGCCAGACGGACACTCCACAGTCTGCGAATTCCTTATGTCCCGCGCGGAGCCAAATTCAGCAATCGAGCGAGAACTCTTTGTCTACGATGCCAACATCAAACGACACCTATCTGCTATGAACGATAAACGCACGCAGCCGATTGTTCTCCGCTACTTTCAATACCTTGCACTGCTCTACACCGAAATCTTCTTAGATTGGAAATTCAACAGACCAGCGGAACTCTTACACCAACTCAACGCTTTTGTCCAACGACGAAACGATGCGAGAGCTCCCAGCGACTCCATGGATACAGACTTCACAGCTGCGGATATCGAAAAACTCGCCTTCTGGATGGCAACTGGTGCGGGTAAAACTCTTATCATGCACATCAACTATCACCAGTACCTTCACTACTGCAAAAAGGTGAAAAAGGAATTAGACCACGTCGTCCTTATCACACCCAACGAGGGATTAAGTGAACAGCACATGCGTGAACTTGCAAATTCTGATATTCAGTGTGAACGTTTCAAGGTTGAGGGAAACCACCGCTTAGGGAGCACTCGCAACGCAATGCAGGTCATTGAAATCACAAAGTTGGTAGAGGAAAAGACAGGCGGTGGTTTGAGCGTCCCAGTTGAAGCATTTGAAGGCAATAATCTCATCTTTGTCGACGAAGGACACAAAGGAAGTGGTGGAAAAGTCTGGCGAAAATATCGCGAAGATCTCGCGGAAACCGGTTTCACCTTTGAATATAGTGCAACCTTTGGACAAGCACTCGCCGCAGCGAATAATGCAGACCTCATCGAGGAATACGGCAAAGCTATCGTCTTCGACTACTCCTACCGATATTTCTATGGCGACGGATACGGCAAGAACTTTCGCATCCTCAATGTCAAACAGGATGAAGAAACCCAAACCGAGACACTCCTTTTAGCCAATCTCCTCAGTTTCTATGAGCAACGACGCTATTTCAAGCAAAACACAAACGAAGTACGTGCCTACGGTTTAGATTCTCCACTATGGGCATTTGTCGGCAGTAAAGTCAACGCTGTCTATACCGAAAACCGTCGCGCTCGCTCCGATGTCCTTAACGTTATCCGATTTCTGCACAAGTTTCTGAAAAACGAAGGAAATTGGGCAATCAACACGATTGAGAAGATTTTCGATGGTGATTCAGGCTTATCCGATGACGACACTGATATTTTCCACAACCGACTCAGTTATCTCATAGGTCTCGGCGAAACATCAGCGCAAATCTACAACAATATCCTCGACGAAGTGTTTCACACTAACACAAGCGGTGCATTGCAGCTACGGGATGTCCAAAATGCTCAAGGCGAAATTGCACTGAAAACCACCCACGGAAGGGAAGACTTTGGTCTCATCTACATTGGGGATACCTCTAAATTCAAAAATCTCGTCAACGAGGATGGTGCAGACATTGATATGCAATCCGAAGATGTCCTCACCGAAAGCCTCTTTAGCGACATCAACAGACCTGACAGCGGGATCAACATCCTCATCGGTGCCAAGAAGTTCATTGAGGGATGGGATAGCTGGCGTGTCACCGCCATGGGACTGCTCAATATAGGCAGACAGGAAGGCTCCCAAATCATCCAACTGTTTGGTCGCGGTGTCCGCTTACGCGGCAAAAACATGAGCCTTAAACGGAGTGCAGCTCTTGGTGGCGAGCATCCACCGAATCTCCCTCTCTTAGAAACCTTAAACATTTTTGCCGTCCGTGCCAACTTCATGGCACAATTCCGAGATTACCTCATGCGGGAAGGGATCGAGCTTGATGATCCCATTCAACTGGAAATCCCTATCGTTTCCAACGAAAATTTTATCGCGCGTCGTCTTTTTGTTCCGACAGTCCTACCATACGACGAAAATGCTAAAGGACAGTGTGTCCCACTCACAGTCAATATTAACGCTTACATCACTCACACTACCCAAATAGTTGAAATTATCGGGAGCAGTTCACAAGAAGGTATCCGAGGGAGCCGGTCAACAGCAGCCTTAGAACGTAAAATTAAAAAAGAAAGCTTAGATCTATTGGATTGGGAAAAGATCCATTTAGAGTTACTTGAATACAAACAGGAAAAACAGTTTCACAATCTCATCTTTGATACCGATATCCTCCAAACAATTATGGAGCCAGAGCAAGAACTGTACGGTCTCACCGTTATAGCAGAATCGGAAGTCAATCCAACGTCACTGGAGGAGGTTACACGCTTACAGGAATTAGTAATTACGCTTCTCCGCAAGTATATCGCCAAATTCTATCGCATCATTCAGCAGCAGTGGAGTGGCAACAGAGTGAAACTGAAAACCTTAGACAAAACGATGCAAACTTCACAGATTGGAGGGTCTATATTCCGCGAGACGAAGCACAGGAACTTGAACCGCAAATCCAAAATCTAATAGAGAGTGGCGAGATATACGGACCTAATGCAACAAATCTCCCTAACGCCTACAATGACAGGCACTTATATCAACCACTTCTCGCTATTACCAATGCCAACGATTCGTGGCGAACCACACCGCCAGCCTTAGAAGAAAGCGAACAACAATTTGTAAAAGACCTGCGCAACTATATCCGCCAGCAACGCGAAGGACATCTCGCGGAAAAAGAGGTATTCCTCTTACGCAACCAGAGTCGAGGCAAAGGAATCGGATTCTATGAAAACGAAGGCTTCTATCCCGACTTTATCCTCTGGATAGCCGAAAGTGCGAAACAACGCATCGTTTTCATAGAACCCCACGGCATGGTGCATGATGCCATCAACGAGCATAACGAGAAAATCACCCTCTTCAAAAGACTACGGACTCTTTCTTATGAACGCTTCCGTGGCGAACATGTCCAAATGGATTCCTTTATCATCTCAAAAACTGATTTTCAAGTTCTCCGGCGCAGAGAAGGTATGGGTAGACCGGAATTTGCAGAAGAATGGCACATCCTTTTCCGCGATCCTGCCGATCCGGCCTACCTCTCCCCAATCTTTGAAGAACCGGATCGTGATGCCTTGCCGTAATCCGAATGTAGAAAACGAGATTTCGCCTGCCTTCTTTACAAGGGTAATAACTTCGCTCCCCAGCTTTGCAGTTCCAGTGTAGTTTTATTTGAAAATTGGATTGATCGTTCGGAATTTGAGTGAACCTTTTATCTCAATCTCGGTTATGATTTGCCTTACATCTGTCTTGGATAAAATCTCCAACTTCCAGAATGATCGCAAAATTTCAGCCAAGTTGATACAACGAATACCGTTTGCTTGACAGTGATGCTTCACTCGACGCTCATTGCTTGCAAAAACAGCATCGAGGCGTTTACAGATTGCCATGGATTCACGTTCACCCGCGGCGAGTGTATAGGGTAAGGACTTTAGAAATGCGTCGTCTATAGGTAGGGGACGGTGGGTTTGGATCTGTTTTTGGGTTAGTAACACCGTAATATCTTGGGCAAAGTGAAATCCCTTTAAAGCACCAATTTTGACTTCATTTTCCACAGCAAGGGCAATGTGGAGCCGTTCTTGATTGAAAACGGCAAACAACAATGGCAACCGCTGAATCTTTGCGAAGATCGAAAGAACATCAGTATCAACAAAAACTAAGGTTATGATTCCTCGGGTCTCTCGTTTGATGTGTGAAGGCTGTTGATTACTGAAACGCCTGTTTCCAATTCCTCTACAGAATCGACTTCGGTCTCTTTCATGATACCTCTCGCCTTCAGAATCTCTTCAAATTCAAAGCGGGGCATTCCAGCTAACTCAGCGGCTCTACCGAGCGTCACTTCACCTTTGCGATAGGACTGGATTGTAGCATCAATACGTGAGGCTTTTTTAGTCTGTACCAGGTTTTCCAGCGCATCAACCATCACTGCATGAGAATCCGGATAAAGACCGGAATCAACCAGCGCGTTAACCTCTTTTTCAAGATCAGGGGAGCGATTTCAATCTGCAACATACGGTAAGACCTCCTTAAAGCAATCGGACCTTCCATTATTATAGGATAACACACTTTATGCAGCATATCAAGCCGATTTTGCAGAACCACAGAGGCATTCAGTTATCAGCAATCAGCCGGCAGCAAGCGTCGCGAGCAGGGGGAAACACAGCTCGCTCCTACAGAAGAGGGGTCGGGATTCGGAGATCCCTCCTACTCCTACAGGAAAACTATATACCCCTATGTATCCCCACTTTTTCGCTTGCCATCCGCCTCAAATTATGCTAAAATGCACATAGCATGAACCGACACGACCTAAAACACCCGCATAGAGAACTCCGTGCCTTGCTTGGAACACGCTTCAGCACAGATAGTGCCGTCCGAGACGCACACGCCCGCGATGCCTCCTATCACCGTGGCGCGCTCCCAGATGCTGTCGCTTTCCCGAAAACCAACGCTGAAGTTTCCGAAATTGTCAAAATTTGCGCGAAATACAGTATACCGATAGTCCCCTACGGCACTGGTACGGGTGTTGAAGGTGCTGTTGTCGCAACCGAAGGCACGCTCTGCATCGCGCTGAACGAAATGAACAGCATCCTCCGCGTCAGTCAAGACAACAGAGATGCCACCGTCCAAGCGGGTGTAACACGCCTGCAATTGAACACACATCTCACAGAGATAGGAACACGACTCCACTTCTCTGTCGATCCGGGGGCAGATGCCTCATTAGGTGGGATGGCGGCGACGCGCGCATCGGGTACAAGTGCTGTCCGATACGGTACGATGCTCGATAATGTCCTCGGCTTGACTGTCGTCACTGCCGACGGCTCTATCGTCCGGACGGGGAGTAGAGCACGGAAATCCGCTGCAGGCTATGATCTCACACGTCTATTCATCGGTTCAGAAGGCACATTGGGGATCATTACTGAAATTACGCTCAAATTGACACGGTTACCGGAAGCAGTCGCATCTGCTGTCTGTGCGTTCCCAACCGTAACCGCAGCGGTGGAAACTGTTATCGAACTGATGGGTACAGGTGTCAACATCGCCCGCATTGAACTTTTAGATGAACTCCAGATGGATGCCGTCAACAAGTATGCGGGGTTAGCGTATGAAGTCGCACCGACACTCTTCTTTGAATTCCACGGCTCCGCACACACCGTCGCAGAGAGTTCGGAGATTGCTGGAACCATCGCAGCGGCACACGGGAGTGGCGATTTCCGATGGGCAACAGACGAAAACGAGCGCAAACGCCTCTGGCAAGCCCGCTACGACAGTTACTACGCCGCCTTGAACCGTCGTCCCGGTTCCGTCGGCTACGTCACCGATGTCTGCGTGCCGATATCTGAACTCGCCGAGTGTATCGCCAAAACGAAAGCACTTCTCGCTGAATCAAACCTTGTCCCGTCGCTCCTCGGACACGTTGGAGACGGGAATTTTCACGTCGTTTTCCCACTTGAAGCTGATAACGACGATGAATTAGCAGAGGCACAGCAACTCAGCCATCAGATTGTAGACATCGCTTTAGAGATGGAAGGCACCTGCACCGGTGAACACGGTGTCGGAATTGGCAAACGAAAAGCATTGGAAAAGGAACACGGATCAGCAATCGATTTAATGCGTGCTATCAAAAGTGCTTTGGATCCTCTAAACTTAATGAACCCCGGTAAGGTCTTCTTGTAGACGTTTTTTTATCCTGTAGCACCAAGAAAAAACTGTGCATTCTTCCGAAACCGTAGTCCGTAACGAAGTGGAGGGGTTTTTGCTGGGGTGTTTCTTCAGATTTAAGAAAGGCACATCAGTAGTTCAAGCCCACGTCGTTCTTCCGCAAGGTAAAATTAAAATATGCAAAACAGCTGGAAAATCCTCATCACCGATTACGCATGGCCCTCCATAGAACCCGAACGACAGGTACTTGCTGAAATTGGGGCGGAACTCATCGCCGCGGAGACTGGCGACGAGGCAGAACTCCTAACCCTCGCACCCACCATGGACGGCATCCTCACCTGCTGGAAACCCGTTCGCGCGCCTGTTATCGCCGCCGCTCAGAAATGCCAGATTATTGGGCGTTGCGGCATCGGATTGGACAACATCGATGTGGAAGTGGCTACGGAACACGGGATCGTTGTCACCAACGTTCCTGCCTATTGTATCGATGAAGTTTCCGACCACGCGATGGGGTTGCTGCTGGCGTGTGCGAGAAAAATCTCGCGCTTCGATCGGGCTATTAAGGGAGGCACATGGGATCAGAACATCGGGCCAACGATGCGCAGAATCCGAGGCAAAACGCTCGGTGTCATCGGATTCGGACGGATTGCGCGGTCAATTGTGCCGAAAGCGAAAGCGTTCGGGTTTACAATCAACATCTGCTCCCCACGCACCGATCCCGAATTAATTCAGCAACACGGTGCACAAAAGGTTTCGTTTTCAGAACTCCTCGCAGCTTCTGATTTCATCACTATCCATGCGCCGCTAACACCAGAAACACAGGGTATGTTTGGGAAGCCAGAATTTCGGGCGATGAAACCGACGGCTTATCTGATTAACACGGCGCGCGGGGGTATTGTAGATACGGCTGCACTCACTGACGCACTCCGTAATGCTGAAATCGCTGGTGCAGGTGTGGACGTATTGGAAACAGAACCACCTGAACAGAGCGAAGAACTGCTTACCCTCGACAACGCTGTCGTTACACCACATGCCGCTTTTATGTCAGAGGAGTCAATTTTTGATTTAGAGATCGCTGCTGCCACATGTGTCGTGGAAGTACTAACGGGAAAATTGCCAGAATCCGTCGTGAATCCGTCGGTTCTGGAACAATCGAACCTCCGCGCAAATTTTTAAACTATGGCTACTGTTCCGCTCTACATTCCATGATTGTAGCCTGCAACAACGGCGCAGGCGGATTTAAGAGAGTCACGTGAAAGTCTTAACACACGTGGTTCTCCCGCAAGGAAAAATAAAAAGCCTGCAACAACGGCGCAGGCGGATTTAAGAGAGTCACGTGAAAGTCTTAACACACGTGGTTCTCCCGCAAGGAAAAATAAAAAGCCTGCAACAACGGCGCAGGCGGATCCAAGTAAAGCATGTAAAAGTCTAAACACATGTTATTTCTCCGCAAGGAATAATTAAAAAAGGAATAATTAAAAAAATGCAACAACTCCCTGACGCAACAGGGCATTTCGGACAATTCGGAGGCAGATACGTCCCCGAAACACTCATGCCCGCCCTTTTAGAACTCGAAAAAGCATACGCGGAGCTCAAAGACAATCCCGACTTCCAACAGGAATTTCGGTACTACCTCCGTGAATATGTCGGGCGGCCGAATCCGCTCTATTATGCCGAGCATTTGACAGAGGCACTCGGCGGTGCAAAAATATATCTCAAACGGGAAGACCTTAATCATACAGGTGCACACAAGATTAACAGCGCGATCGGTCAAATCCTCCTCGCACGATGGATGGGCAAAAAACGTATTATCGCTGAAACAGGTGCGGGACAACACGGTGTCGCGACAGCCACTGTCGCCGCGAAGTTCGGTATGGAATGCGAAGTCTATATGGGCGAGGAAGACATAGAACGACAGGCACTCAACGTTTTCCGTATGCAACTGATGGGGACAAAAGTGGTCCCGGTTAACTCTGGGTCCCGTACCCTCAAGGATGCGATCAACGCCTGCTTCCGAGATTGGGTCACGAACGTCCGAACCACCTATCTGCTTCTCGGCTCGGTTGTCGGCGCACACCCTTACCCAATGATAGTCCGAGACTTCCAATCCGTCATCGGTGACGAAGCGAGAGCCCAGATTTTGGAGCAGGAAGGGGCTTTACCGGATTGTGTCGTCGCCTGTGTCGGCGGCGGGAGCAATTCACTCGGTATGTTCTACCCATTTTATGCCGATGAATCCGTTCGGTTTATCGGTGTGGAAGCCGCGGGAGAGAGCATTCGTAGCGGACGACACGCCGCACCTCTCACTGCTGGCAGTGTCGGTGTCTTTCATGGTGCTAAGTGCTATCTATTGCAAGAAGATGACGGTCAGATAACCCCCGCACATTCAATCTCCGCAGGATTAGATTACCCGGGTGTCGGACCGGAACATAGTTATTATCGCGAAACCGGTAGAGCGGAATATGTTCCAATTACCGATGTAGAAGCGGTAGAGGGGTTCCAGTTGTTATCTGAAACAGAGGGCATCATTCCAGCATTAGAATCCGCGCATGCCATTGCCTATCTGCGTGAACTCGCTCCCAAGCTCGGCAAGGACAAGATCATTGCTGTCTGCCTCTCAGGTCGCGGCGATAAAGATGCCTACACTATCGCAAACGAATTAGGTATCAACCTTTAGCAGTCGCTGCTACAGGGATATTCGGGAATCGGAGTGTTTTTGCTTGGGTGTTTCCCGCCTCCTACAGAAGGGCTGAATGCCTCTGTGCTGCATCCAAAAACAACTTGCTATCTAACTGTGAAATGTGCTATAATTTGTCGTATAGTCTAAAAAAAATAGCGAGCGAGGTGGCACTATGACGCGCGAAACCGTAGACTCTGCTTCAAACCTGTCCGTGCCGCAAAAGGTCCGTAAGCTCATCAAGTGGTTCTCACATCGAGACGGTCCTGTCAGGAACTGGCGATATATCCCGGCGCATGTACTCTTACGAAAACTGCAATCGGAATCTGCCGAAATGCGGGCATACGCCGCTGAAGGGTTAGGCGGTGTTGGTGGTGTCCATGCTGTCGCGCCGCTCATTAATGCCTTAAACGACAGCAACTCGACCGTTCGCCGTTTCGCTATCTCCTCTCTTGGAAAAATCCGCGATGCACGCGCTATTGATGTGCTTGTACCGTTTCTACAAGACGAAGAAGCTGACATGCGATGCGCGGCTGTTGTTGCTCTTGGCGAAGTGGGACTTGGCGAAGAGAGATTCTCGGTGCCACCGGTCCAGGTAATAGAGGCATTGATAAACAGTGTAACGGACACTGACAGAGCCGTCTGTTCCGCTGCTGTCGTCGCTTTAGGCAGAATCGGTAGTCCACAAGCCATCTCCGCACTCAATGAATTGGCAGAAACCACTGAGAGCGAATGGGTCCGCCGTTACGTCAGCGAGGCATTGCATCAAATCGAAGAGCAGAACACCTAAAGAATTCACGGTACGCTCTGAATTCAAATTTGGCAAACTACTTTCGATTGTGCTATAATAGTTTAAAGTTACTTCGCGTTCAGTATACACTGTCGCAACCCAATCTTTCTTTTCTGTAGGAACTACAAAATAGGCCGAGGAAAAACGTGCTATGAAGAAAGAACAAATTGTCTCCCAAAACCCAAGCGTTACGAATGGCACCTTAGTTTTGCTGGTACTCGTGTTCCGGTTGAAAGCCTAATCTAACACCTTCTCCCAACACATCACAAAGGTAGCATCGCCTTCGAAAATTATGGACGAAAATCAAAATTTCAAATCCGGGTACGTTAGCATTATCGGCGCGTCTAACGTCGGTAAATCCACCCTGCTCAATACCATTTTAGGGCAGAAAATCGCTATTGTCACCCCAAAGCCACAAACGACTCGAAATCAGATTCGCGGGATTGTCACCACCGATGCCCATCAAATTGTTTTTGTCGATACACCCGGACTGATGAACCCGAAATACCGCTTGCAGAGTGAGATGGTCAAAACCGCGTATGGGGCTTTAGGAGATGCTGATGTTGTCCTTTTTGTGATTGATATCACGCGCCGAAACCCTGAAATCGAGGATGAAATCCTAAAGCGTCTCAAGCGTGTCAAATCCACAACTATCCTGGTTCTCAATAAGGTAGATCTCGTCGCAAAGCCAACCTTACTCCCAATTTTTGAGGACTACAGTCAGAAATTTGAATTCGCACACATGATACCTATCTCCGCATTAACTGCCGACGGTGTGCCACTCCTTCTTGAGCAGATTGAAACTTACCTGCCGCTGGGACCCCGTTATTTTCCAGAGGATCAACTCAGTGACCTCCCTGAACGCTTTTTCATTGCCGAAACCGTTCGTGAAAAGATTATGCTCATGACGCAACGCGAAATCCCTTACGCCTGCGCTGTCGTTATTGAAGAGTTTGAAAAACGCCAGACGAAGAAGTCGGATGAAATTATCTATATCCGAGCCGTTGTCTATGCAGAACGACAGACGCAAAAGCAAATTATCATCGGTAAGGGCGGCAAGGTGGCGAAACGGGTCGGTGAACTCGCACGAATTGATATTGAGAAATTCTTGGATGCCCGCGTCTTTTTAGAAATCTACGTAACAGTCAAAACTGATTGGCGCAAAGATGCCCGCCAACTCAAAGAGTTAGGCGGTTTTGCAGATATGTAATAGTTTTACCTATCAACTCGTGCCTTAAACAAATCTAATCAGAGCGAGTTGATAGGTAAAGTTAACAGTCGTCGGTTATCAGTTAAAGAGGGCTTTTGTGCAACCGGGATCACCTCTTAACTGACCACTAATAATGACTCCGTGGGAAATCATGCCATGACGGAAGAATCAATTCTCGTACACGGTGCGCGCGAGCACAATCTAAAAAACATTGACGTCCAACTTCCAAAAGACAAACTCATCGTTTTCACCGGCGTTAGCGGTTCCGGCAAGTCATCACTGGCAATTGATACCGTTTATGCCGAAGGACAACGGCGATACATTGAGTCTTTATCGGCGTACGCACGGCAATTTTTAGGACAGCTCGGAAAACCAGATGTAGATGAGATTATCGGATTATCTCCCTCCATTGCCATAGATCAGGGATCAACAGGACATAACCCCCGTTCCACGGTGGCAACCATAACTGAAGTCTACGACTACCTCCGTGTACTCTATGCACGCGTTGGACAATTCCACTGTCCCGAATGCGGACGTGAAGTCGGTTCACAAACTGCCGCGGATATCGTCCAAGCTCTGATCGACTACCCAGAACGCACCAGACTTATCATTTTCGCACCGATTCTGAGAGGTTCCCGCGGCGCGCACGAAAGAGAACTCGAAGATTTACGCAAAGCGGGTTTCGCAAGGTTGCGAATCGATGGTGAAATATACGAACTTCGACCCGACCTCACCCTCACTCCCAATCAACGCCACGACATCGATGTCGTCATCGACCGGATTGTCATTAAAGAGGGTGTTGAACCTCGCGTCGCCCAAGCCGTGGATACTGCACTCTTACGTGGAGACGGAAGCCTCCTTGTCCACGTCGTTCCCACTGAAGGCGAGGGATCTCCGTTTGTGTCGGAGGAAGACGACCTGCTGTTTAGCAAGGATTACACTTGTGCGCACTGCCGGATCAGTTTTGTGAAACCGGAACCTCGCCATTTCTCTTTCAACAATCCGGATGGCATGTGCGAGAATTGTCGGGGTTTAGGCGTGGAAATGGGAATCTTACCAAAGTTGATTGTTCCAGATGATACCCTCTCCATTATGCAAGGTGCCATAAGTTTGTGGGGACCTCTTGATAAGCGAGATGTCCTCAAGGAAAAGGTAATCGCTGAAGCACTCGCAAAACACCTCGGATTCGATATTGAGACCCCTTGGAAGGACCTCACACCGGAGCAGCAGCATGCCATTCTCTATGGCACCGGCGACGATATTCTTACGATTACCACCCCCGGTAAGGGCGGACACAAAAAACGAAAACGACGACGGCAATATCGTGCCCATTTTCACGGCATCATTCCAACTGAAGAGCAGAAGTATCACTTTGAAGATGACGATGAAACCGATGAAGACACCTTCCCCGACTATTTTGTCAAAATGCCCTGCAGGACATGTGAAGGCACCCGACTTAATCCGTGGGTGAAAGCCGTGACGATAGGCGAAACCTCCATAACGGATATTCTTGAAATGTCCATCCAGGACGCAACCCAACTCTTCGGCGAGTTAGTACTTCCAGAGCGCGAGGCTTTCATCGCAACCGAGCTCCTAAAGGAAATTCGAGGGCGGCTCGGGTTCCTTATGGATGTCGGATTAGGATACTTGACGCTCGCTCGTTCTGCACCGACACTCTCTGGTGGCGAAGCACAACGGATTCGTCTCGCCAGCCAAGTAGGTGCTGGATTACGTGATGTCACCTATGTTCTTGATGAGCCGAGTATCGGCTTGCACCCGCGCGACCACGCCGGTTTACTCATGACCCTCTTAAACTTGCGGAATCAAGGCAACACCGTTATTGTCGTTGAGCACGATGAGGCAACCATGTTAGTGGCTGATTGGATCGTCGATTTCGGTCCCGGTGCAGGGATTAAGGGTGGGAAGATAACGGATATCGGCACACCGGCACAGTTCATGAAGGAGAGCAATACACTCACTGCCCAATATCTCCGAGGCGATAAGGTGATCGTTCAACCGGAATCCCGTCGTCCGACAGGGGACAGGTGGGTGCAAATCTGCAACGCACGCCAGAACAATCTCCAAGGTATCAGCCCTAAAATACCGGTGGGTACGCTCTGCTGTGTAACAGGTGTGAGTGGGTCTGGAAAGAGTTCCTTAATTCACGATATTCTCTACAGGGCACTCGCCCGCGACCTCATGAAAGCAAAAACTGTACCCGGGGGATTACGACGATATTCGGGGCATCATTGAAGGGAAAAAGCGTTCCAGTCTCCAATGTCATTGACAAAATTATCAACATCAACATGGCACCTATCGGGCGAACACCACGCTCCAACGCCGCGACCTATACAAAAAGTTTTTGATGCTATTCGCGCACTCTATGCGAGTTTGCCTGATGCGAAATTGCGAGGCTATAAACCCGGACGGTTCAGCTTTCAACGTCAGCGGCGGCAGATGTGAAGCGTGTAATGGTAACGGTGCGAAGAAGGTCGATATGGGACTGCTCTCTGATGTCTGGGTGGAGTGTGAGGTGTGCGAGGGAAAACGCTTCAATAGTGAAACCCTCGCCATTAAATACAAGGGAAAAAACATCTCCGAGGTCCTTGAAATGGATATTGATATCGCACTCGCACATTTCGCCGATATTCCGAAGGTCGCAAGGGGATTGAAACTACTTCACGATGTTGGTTTGGATTACATTAAACTCGGACAACCGGCTCCCACGCTTTCAGGCGGCGAAGCACAACGCATCAAACTTTCGCGGGAACTCTCCAAACGAGGTACGGGTAAAACCCTCTATATCCTTGATGAACCCACAACCGGCTTGCACTTTGACGATGTAAATAAATTGTTGACAATACTTCATCGTCTCGTGGACGATGGCAACACGGTCGTCGTTGTTGAACACAATCTTGAAGTCGTCAACTCCGCAGATTACCTCATTGATTTAGGACCGGAAGGCGGCGTTGGCGGCGGAGCTATCGTTGCTGTGGGGACACCTGAACAGATCACAGAGGTGCCTGAATCTTACACTGGACGGGCACTTCGTGGTGATTTCGATATCTGGCGTGGGACAAAGCATCAACGCCTGGGAGAAGCGGAACTCGCCTTCGCGTATGGACGAGAATCGGAGGCACCTCCGGAAACCATTACTGTGCGGGGGGCTGCGGAAAATAATCTGAAAAATATTGACATCGACATCCCGCACCGAAAGATGACCGCATTGACTGGCGTGAGCGGTTCCGGTAAGACATCACTCGCACTTGATACCGTTTATGCCGAAGGACAGCGCCGCTATATCGAGACACTCAGCACTTACGCTCGTCAGTTTATAGGGCAGATGGAAAAGCCCAAAGTCTCAAAGATTGAAGGTCTCTCGCCGGCGATTGCTATTTCGCACACCAACGCAGGGCAAAACCCAAGGTCCACTGTCGCGACGATTACGGAGATACATGATGGAGTCCGCACGCTTTACGCCAGATGGGGCAAACCCTTCTGTCCGGATTGTCAAGAGGAGGTACAGCCACAGACAGCGGAAGAGATAACGGAGCAGGTTTTTGGGATCCACCGTGAACAGAGGGTGGATGTCCTCGCACCTCTCACAAATTTCTTGCTTCTTCCGGAAGATAAAGAAGGCGTGTCAAGGGGTAAAATTGTTGACGTTAGTGCAAGTGAGTCGGCATTCGGTTTGAAAGGGAACGAGGATTACGCCGATGTATTTCGTCGATTGCAAGGAGCAGGATTTGTGCGCGTCCAAATTGATGGCGAAATTCATCGACTTGATGAAGCACCAAAGCTGAGTAGAGGTATTCACCATGAAGTCTTTATCGTCATCGACCGCATCGAGCTTGTAGATGAAGAAAAAAGCCGTTTTACGGAGGCGGTGGAGTTGGCACTCCTTCAAAGTGGGGGGTTCGTACTCATTGAGAACAGAGAACGCGGACAACCAACGGGGCGGCATTTCCTTAGCGAACATGCGATGTGCCGTTCGTGCGGCAGCAACTTTGGGCAATTGACACCCCGCCACTTCTCCTTTAACAACAAAGTCGGGGCGTGCGATTTCTGTGATGGACGCGGAAGAAACATGCACTCACCGTATGATGCGTGCAATCAATGCCACGGCACACGACTGAAACCCTTCCCAAGTTGCGTCAGGTTTGAAGATATGACCGTCTCTGAATTGATGGCACTGTCAATTACCGAAATTATTGAATTCTTCAACGCACGGTTAAAACGGATCGAAGCGGAGATCATTTCAGATGATGCGGAGACCAATAGGAGCGATCTTCTGATCGCAACAGGCGTGTCAACTTCAAGAGCGACACGTCCGGCACTTCACGTTCATACTTCACCTGAGTTTGAAGCTGAAGTCCTGCGCCAAATCCAGACGCGGCTTCAGTTCTTAGAAGATATTGGTCTCGGTTATCTCGCGTTAGACCGCGGGGCACCAACGCTTTCCGGTGGCGAAATGCGCAGAATCCAACTCGCAAGCCAACTCGGTAGTGGTCTCACCGGGGTAACCTATATTCTCGATGAACCCAGCATCGGCTTACACCCACGCGACCAAGAACGCCTCATTGCTGCACTCAAGGAACTCCGCGATATCGGCAACACTGTCCTCGTTGTTGAACACGACCGCGATACAATATTAGCCGCCGATCATGTGATTGATTTCGGTCCCCAAGCAGGCAAAGGCGGTGGTGAGATTGTCGCTGTCGGCACACCGGATACCTTTCAGCGATCAGCGGTCAGCGATCAGCAATCAGTGATTGGCACACAACCGATAGCCCGTAACGAAGTGGAGGGCGACTCTAAAGAAAGGCACGTCAAAACACAAACCCCCGACAGGTACCCGCAAGGTAAAATTAAAAAATCCTTGACGCAAGCCTATCTATCCAATGAAGTGGAGATACCTGTTCCGAAAACTCGGCGCAAAGGCACAGGCAAACAGTTAGCAATATTCGGGGCGAAAACGAACAACCTCAAGGACATTGATGTCAAGATTCCACTCGGAACGCTCACCTGTGTGACCGGCGTTTCGGGGTGCGGAAAGAGTTCGCTCGTTGAAGGCACTCTAAAACCTGCCCTTGAAAGTCGAAGCTCTATCAAAACCGGGTGAACCTCAGGACAGTCGCTATACCCATTATCTCAGCGATGGCCACCAAGAACCGATATATAACGACTACGGGCTACCGGAATATGAAAGCATTCGCGGTGTTAGTCATATTAAGCGTCTCATCAATGTAGACCAGAAGGCGATCGGTGAAACACCGCGTTCCAATCCAGCGACCTATACCGACCTATTCACGAAAATCCGTGAACTTTTCGCTGAGCAATACGATGCAAAGATGCGTGGCTTTAATATGGGCATGTTCAGTTTCAACCTCGCACAGGGACAGTGTCATGTATGTGAGGGACACCGTTTCAACCGCATTGAGATGCATTTTCTCCCTGACGTATGGATGCCGTGTGAGGCGTGTAATAGCACCGGCTACAGTATGGAGACACTCGAAATCCGTTACAAAGGCAAAAATATCGCTGAAGTCTTAAATATGACGGTAGATGAGGCACTCGCATTCTTCAGCGAAAGCCCGCGCATCTGCCGGACGCTCCAGATGTTAACAGATGTCGGACTCGGTTACATAGAGTTGGGACAATCCGCGACGACGCTCTCTGGCGGTGAGGCGCAGCGCGTCAAACTTGCGAAGGAGTTGGCGCGTCGCCAAACCGGTTCAACGCTCTATATCATGGACGAACCGACGACCGGACTCCACTTTGACGACATCCAGAAACTCCTCAAGGTGCTGAACCGACTCGTCGATGAAGGCAACACGATTATCGCTGTCGAACACAACATTGACGTTATCAAATCCGCAGATTGGATCATCGACTTGGGACCGGAAGGCAGCAAAGGCGGCGGAGAAGTCGTTGCGATGGGCACGCCAGAGAAAGTCGCGTCGGTACAAGAATCCCATACCGCACGTTTCTTACGCGAAGTACTATAGGAATGATCAAGACTAAGCCTCCTCTGTAGGAGCAACCTCCATGTCGCGAAACGTCCTAACATCCGCCGCTGGCGAGGTTTCCCAACCTCGTCAACAGGGATAGAGATGTATCTTCATTCGTTGTTCACTCGGATGTCTATATAGTAAAGTCGAAAAATATGTGGACAGTTAGTCAGTGAATAACGCCCCCACCGCCGCTGGCGAGGATTGTATCCTCGCCTCTTTAGAGCGTCCAAGTAATTATAGGCTTTACTATAATTTTCATAATTCACCATAGTTTTCCATACTTTATAGTAAAGTCCAAAAATATGTAGACAGCGTAGGATTTGATACCTTCCTACCCGCTGGCGAGGTTTCCTAACCTCGCCATCTGTAGTGTATAGGTAATTGTAGGCTTTACTTTAAATGAATTGGTGCGTAGTCGGGAAACCGTTTTTTGTCGGTTATACGCGCCTTTAGAACGTGCGATGAATCGCACGACTACAAACATGCTTGCTCGTAGTCCAAAAACTATTTATTGCCCGTTAATCCGAACAATCCGATCCGTTTTTAGAACTCTGGTAAAGTATATAATTGCTTAGACATTGTGAGGCGAGGTGTTTTTGCTTGGGTGTTTCCCCCTGGAAACCTCGCCAGTGGTGGTAAATTTTCGCTTCTATTGAAATTTTTACTTATTTCTATAATCCACTATAAATGATCTGATAAATCCCTCAATTTCCCCTTGACAAATTTTGGGATATGTGGAATGATAGTATTGTATCTATCAAAGATGTCGTATCTATTATAATGCAGATTCCAGATTACTATCAAATCTTAGAGGTCGGGCGGGATGCTACCGCTCGCGAAATAAAGAAAGCCTATCGGAAACTCGCAAAACGCTACCATCCCGATAAAAACCCGGAGCGGCCCGCTTTTGCGGAAAAGATGTTCCGCGAAGTCTGTAATGCTTATAACACGCTCCATGACAAAAGGCAGAAATCCAACTACGACCGGGCGTTACAGACGATTGAACGGCAACAGAAGTCCCACGAAGTCTATCTCGACAGACTGAGTAGGCTCAACCACATTTACGCCAAGCTGGAATTGCTGTTGCAAGCACTGCTCCATCACAATTACGAAACCGGCGTTTCTATGTACGAGCAGTTGCAGCACAACTCTCAAAAAATTGGGAAGGAATGGCGTATCGATGACTTCCTGAGTTATGAAGAGAGCCGGGACTGTGAATTTCTCATTGCCGAAGCATATCAGAGACTCGGATTTTCTAACGGTGACCAGTCTTCCGTTCTTGATCGGTACCGCAAAATCGAGCAGGCAATGTTAATTTATGAATCGCTATTGTCTGCCGAAACAAAGCGTCCCTGTTTTAGGCACTTTATCCGGGAAGTCAAGGAGCGTCTCAAATTCATCTACCTCTATCACTTCAGTGTCGACGGGTACGGCCAAACACACCCAATTCCGTTAGCGAAAATCCGTGAATTGAGACTCTCGAAACGCGAGACCGCATGGATGTACAAGAAAGTTGCAGAATTCTACGTTGAAATTGATCGGTTCCGGGAAGCACGAACCGTTTTGAAAATGGCATTTGAATTGCAACCCCGCCTTACCGGTGCCAAGAAAATCTGCCAAGCACTAAATATGGGTTCTCTTTTGGGATAAATCAACTGTAGGAGCGATTTCCGAATCGCGACATTCTTATCAGAGGCATTCCTAATGCAAAAAGAGGTACGCTGGGAACGGATGTTCCCTGATCAATTAGAAGCCGCGTTCAACGACTGTCCGGCTGTCTATTTCACTTACGGACTCTGCGAACCACATGGTCCGCAGAACACCGTAGGGTTGGATTCGCTCAAGGCACATGCGATCGCTTGTCGTGCGGCGCAAACCCACGGTGGTATCGTCGCACCTCCCGACTATTGGCATATCCACGAACACGGTATGTATGCTAACTGGGCATATCGGAATGTTGGCGAAGCCCGAAGTTGGCTCACCGCTATGCCTGCGTGGCAACACTTCAAAAACGTCTGCTACCATGTCCGCGCCGCCGATGCTCTCGGATTCCACGCCGCTATCTTCCTCACAGGGCACTATGGACCCAATTGGCAGGACCTCAAGACCCTTCTATCTCTAATTCAACCGCACTTCGCTATGCGACTCTACGGGCTTCCCGATTTTGAGGCGAACACGCCAGGATTCGATCGGCAGGGCAACGGTGGAGACCATGCGGGCAGAGTTGAAACCTCGCTGCTATGGGCATTGGAACCAGACTGTGTTGACATGTCGCGGATGCCTGTGGCGGACGCACAGGGACCTCATTTTGCGATGGGAGCAAATGCCTTCGATTCAGACCGACGTATCGGTGAACGTATGGTGGATGATGAGGTCGAATGGCTCGAAAAAAAGATGCAAGAATTGCTAACGGCTTACAAACAACAGGATATTACCGAACGCCAGCCTGTAACTTTTGAGGAAGTCGAACAGATATGGACAGAAACCGTATCACCCGCTTTGAAAACCTTTGAGACGATGAAAAATCCAGAAGAATCGCCACCGGAAGATTCACAATGGTTCCGCCAGTGCAAACTTCCAGACCTTCCGTAAAAGAGGACATCACATGGAAACGACAAACGCGCAACTCGCTGATAATTACCGAAAGGACGGATTCTTGACCGGCATCCACGTTTCCGATGAAGTTGAAGCAACGCGCCATCGGCAAGCCTACAATGCGTTAGAAGCAGATGCCGGGGCAGAGAAATGTGAAATCGGTCTTGTTGATTGGCATTTCGACTATCAATTTATCTGGGAACTCGCAATACATCCGAAGATCGTGGATGTTATCGAGGCACTTATCGGTCCCGATGTGATGCTGTTAGCCACCCATTTCTTCTGCAAGTACGGTCCCCGCGACAAGTTCGTCGCGTGGCATCAAGACGTGACATATTGGGGGCTTGAACCGCCGGATGCAATCACAGCATGGTACGCCATAGATGACAGCGATATAGGTAACGGCTGCATGCAGGTAATCCCCGGAAGCCATCAACGAGGCATCAAGGAACATGGGAAGTCTCAACAGGTAGGCAACCTGTTGAGCATCAATCAGGAGGCTCCAGTCACCGAGACAGAGGCAGAAACCGCCGTAGATTTGGTGCTAAAAGCCGGTGAGATGTCCATCCACCACGGACAGATGATCCACGGTAGTCTACCGAATCATTCCACCCGTCGGAGGTGTGGTTTGACGGTTCGCTATATAGACCCATCGGTGAGGCAGGCAGAAGAGAATTCACTGAAACGTCCTTGGAAACCGATTCTGCTGCGAGGTGAAGACCGATACCAGAATTTCACTACCGTCCCGAATCCGTTCCCATTCCACGAATAGTGGCAAGCATCCGTAGCATCGTAGGTTGGGTTGAACGGTTCTCTCAAAACCTTGACAAATCAAAGTGACTGAATCCTCGTCTATACACGCCAGATCAAAGAGAAATCAAGTGAAACCCAACATCTCCTTTGAAGATTCCAAGTATCTCACATTATGAAGTTGGGTTTCACTGCGTTCTTCGGTGGAGGTAACGGTTTATTGGCTTCGGGGTATGTTTGGTAGGTCGGCATCGGACTTCTCAACTCCGTTCAACCCAACCTACGCGAACTTCACGGGTAACTGAAGCAAGAAGGCAGGCAAGTACAGAGAATGAAAGCTCCTATCTACGATACAATCATCATTGGTGCCGGCGGCATGGGGAGCGCGACCGCATACCATCTCGCCAAGTCTGGCGCAGACGTGCTTGTCTTAGAACAGTTTCAGCGTGGACATACGTTTGGCAGTTCGCACGGTGAAACCCGTATCATCCGTTTCTTCTATGATAAGCCCTTTTACACAGAATTGATGAAAACCGCCTATGCCGAATGGCGAGACCTTGAATCTGTGTCAGGGAAGCCACTCCTGTTCATTACGGGGAGTTTGTGCTTCGGCACAACGGGAAACCCGTATGGACGCGCTGCTCGACAAAGCTTAGATGCCGCAGGTGTTGAATCCGAGTGGTGGGATGCGGCGAAATTGACAGAACGTTTTCCGCAATTTCGCGTGTCCAACGACATGGACATCCTCTGGCAAAGGACACCGGTTTCCTTCATGCCGCTGAATGCGTCTTGACTCACTTGCAATTAGCAGAACAGCACGGGGCAACAGTCCGAGAGCAGACTCCTGTAACCGACATTGATTGGCAAGCAGATGTTCCAGTTGTTCGGACTGAAAACGGTTCGTTCCACGGCAGAAAAGTTATCGTAACGGCAGGGGCGTGGACGGAGGTTCTCCTCTCAGAAATAACCTCCCACTTACCGTCACGAAACAGCAGGTCTGTTATTACCAGCCCGCGGATACTGCACGTTCCAAGGCGACCGGTTTCCAGTCTTCACCGAAGCAACAGCGGATGGCGAATTCCTCTATGGCGTTCCCTATTTTGGGCGAAACGGATTAAAAATTGGGCGGCATGGAAGGGGAGAGACCGTTTCGCCGGAGACGTGCAAACGCACCGTCGATGCAGATTACGTTGCTCACGTGGATACGTATGTGAAAGGACGCATCCCGGAACTCGGTAAAACTGCACACGCCGAGGTCTGTCTCTATACCGAAACCCCCGATGAAGATTTTATTATTGACGCGCACCCGCACTGTCCGGATATGCTGATTGCGGCAGGCTTTTCAGGACACGGCTTTAAATTTTGTCCCCTCGTCGGGCGCGTTCTAAGCGAATTGGCACAAACAGAAGAAACAATTTTCGACATTCACCCATTTCGTATCGACCGGGAACAGAAGATCTCAAGCGGTATCCCAAGGTTGCAATCATGACGAAACAGACGAAAATAATTGTGGGTGTGGTTTCCGTTAGCGTTGTGTTAATCTGCATTACGCTATTCTTTCTCATGCCGCGTGGTTCCGATCTCACTATCCAAGCACCACCGCCGCCGCGGGAAGTTACACCTGCTCTATTGCCGCCACCAATCCCTTCAATCATTGCTGTGAGGGCGAATTTGCCCATACAGGATGTCAAGACGGTAGCGGAATCCGCACTCAGAGATTATCTCAGCAAACCCATCCAACGAAAAGACGGCGCAATTGAGTCTGCTATTAAACTTAATCTTAACTCCCTTACAATGACTGGCACGGCAGACGGGGCTGTATCGGTAAACGTTCCATTCCGGTTCAGTGGGTGGGCACGCGTCTCGAAAAAAATCTTGGACAGGTAGTCCAGAAACGTGAAGATATTGAAGGAACCGCGACTGCATCGCTAACCCTTACCCCAACACTTAACTCGGATTGGCGTATTACTGCCAAAACGACCTCTGACATTTCCATCCAGAAAGCGGAAATTGAGATTTTGGGCATTACAATTTCGGTGCGTCGGATCCTTACCGAATTGGTGCGAGAAGCAATCCTCCCCAAGTTAGAGCACCTTATCGTCAAATACATCACCGACATAGATGTAAAGACTCGCGTCGCGGTTTATGGACAAAGCTCTATGAACCAATAGTCATCAACCAAGAACCGCCAATCGCACTTACTATAGAGCCGTTGAAATCCTTGCGCACAGCTTTCGAGTGATGGGCAAACGCTTTCCTTCAGCCTCGGTATAGAAAACCTATATTCAAGCGAATATGGGAAATGTATCAATCGATTCTTCCCATATACAATCACTGACTTGCCAGACATTCGCTTCGTGGATGCCCTTGGAATCCGGCTACCACATCATTGCCCCGATTGAGATAACTTACGCCGCTGTTGAAATCTTGCTAGCTCTGTTGAAAAACCGCACAAACTAAAAGGAGTCGATACACTCGTTAAAATTTGACCCTCTATGGCAGTGGTACCCAACTCGCCGCGGGAATTGGATTCAGTATGCCCTCATTAGGCGCGAGGGACAACTCTATCTGCTCGGACACCTGTGTATGACGCGACAGCGATGTCCGTTCTGTCACTGAATTCGACATACGCTAACGACAACGAAAGTCTACTTTTGGATGTCGCAAAGTCGCCGGAAAGGCTCTTTGAAGTGCACCGTTTATTCAGACCACAATTTCGCAAAGTTAATCCAAGTTTTGTTGCTCGAATTCCATAGGTGTCAAATAGTCTAACGCCGAATGGGGGCGTTTTTGGTGATACACTTGTTCGATAAAATGTCCAATACGATTTCTCGCTTCATGGATGTCTTCATAGTCGTTGAGGTGAACTTCTTCCTCCTTGAGGGTTCGGATCAGTCTTTCGGCATACCCGTTCTCCCAAGGGCATCCGCGACGGGCGACAGAGATCTCAATCCCATGATGCCTGAGCATCGAAACATAAGCATCTGAAAGATATTGAACGCCTTGATCCGAATGATGGATCTCTGGAATGCTTCGACGTAGTGCCTGTTGTAACGGTTTCAACGTCAGCGGTTGGGTGAGGTGTTGACTCACTTGCCACCCTCTAATCCTGCGAGTGAAGACATCCATGAGTAGAGAAACATAGACGAAGCGCGCCTTGAGTCGGACGTAGGTAATATCGCCCACCCAGACCTGATCGCATCGGGAGACTTCAAGGTCTTTGAGGCGATTGCCCCACGGACGCACACTGTCAACAGAGGTCGTGGTTTGACAGACCCGTTTGACGGACACCAATAAGTTTGCGGCTTTCATCAAGCGGGCAACACGTTTACACCCAACGGTGTATCCCATACGCACCAGCAGTTTTGTGATACGCCTATATCCGTAGGTCGGATACCGGAGTGCCAACGTCTCTATTTCCTCCCGGAGGACGACTTCAGACGGATCCTGCTTGGGTTGATAATAGAGGTTGCTTCGGGTGAAACCCAGCACCTCACATATCTGTCGAACCGAATAATCGGTCCGGAGTGCCTCAACTATTTCTCGCTGCTCCGTCAGTTTTGGTCTAACCACGTCGCTGCTTTTTTTTGAATATCTAATGCCACAGTCAACCGCCCGACGAGGTGTTCAAGGTGGGCGATCCGCTCAGCTGCCTCGCTGGACTGTTTCTCTGTGGACACAAACAGAGAGCCTACGTTTTCAACGACTTGCTGCTTCCACTTAGAGAGTTGATCTTCACTCAGGTTGTGTCGACGACACACTTCTGCTTGCGAACTTTCACCGCTAAGTGCCTCAAGAACAACTTGGCCTTTAAACTCAGGGGTGAAGTTTCTTCGTTTTCGTTTCGCCATCGGGGCCTCCTTTCAAGTCGTGGATATTATACCACAATCTTGGTTTAGGGAGTGGCCCGAATTTAGGGGGGCAGTACACACTTTCCAACCTCCGAAACAATGGTTGAAGAGAGCTTGTCTTTCCATGGAAGATCGGCTCACACACACTCCACAGAAGTTGGCAGATGTCCTATCGCAGAACGTCGATCGGTTCGTCCGTCGTTTTGCGTGGCACCGTAGATACCATTACACCGGAAGCCCTTTATCTCACGCAGACAGGGGTACATATCCCATTCCGCTTACAGGGCAATCTCGCTTGTGAGGTAAGTCTTAATTCTTCACGAGGTTCACATTGAGGCTTTTTAACTATTGGGTTTTCATGTTATACGCAACCGTAGTCCGTAATGAAATGGAGGACGGATTTAAGGAGCAGGCTTCATAGACTTATCCTACGTCGTTCCTCCGCAAGGAAAGTTTAAAAAATGCAAACAACTCTTAAAGCAGGAAGCGCGAGCGCGAACATCACACCACCACTCGGCACGAGAATACCGGGCGGTTTCCGACCAAGATACGCTGAGAATGTCGACGATGAACTTTTTGCCAAAGCAGTCGTCATCGATAACGGCACAACGCGTATCGCTATAGTTACCTGCGATCTCATCGCTATACCGGAGAAAGTAGCGGATGTAGCCAAAGCACGTATCGCCGATAGATGTGATATTCCCGCGGCACACGTCATGGTGAACGCCACGCATACACATACCGCTGTCGCAATCGCCGATCTGCTCGGTGTTGATGAAGATCCGGGTTATACAGAATGGGTGTCACTGAAAATCGCCGATGCCGTTGAACTCGCAGTGTGGCGACTCAAGCCGGCACGGGTGGGGTTCGCCAGTGTTAATGAAGAACGCATCACCTTCAATCGACGGTGGCACATGAAAGATGGTACCGTCCGTTTTAACCCCGGTATCGAAAACCCAGATCTTGTGGAACCAACGGGTACAATTGATCCAGAGTTGGCGATGATGTTCGTTGAAGCCGATGATGGTACACCTATCTCCGCGGTTGCGAACTTTTCGCTCCACTACATCGGCACGAACAACGGCAATGCCCTTTCCGCAGACTATTTTGGGCATTTCGATCGACTCATGCGACACTATCTCGGAGATACATGCGTCTCACTCCTCTGGAACGCCGCATCGGGACAGATTAACAATACTGACTTTAGTGGACAGACGAAATGGACAGCGAGCGGACATAGGCAGGCAGTGAAAATGGCGAATGTTCTCGCGGGACATTTTATCACCGAGATGCAGCTCATGGAGATGCACGAAACACTCGACCTCAGCGGAGACCTTGCCACGCTGACGTTCCAACGCAAGCGAATTACCGCCGAAGATCTTAAAGTTGCTGAGCAGGTGCTGTCTGTTCCACAAGGAACTTACGATGCCTACGAAACAGGTCCGTTCAGTTGGGTCGTCGGGCAACCGATACCGCAGGCGTTGGTTGATGTCTACGCGCTTGAATGCCAAAGATTGGCGAAGTTACCGGCGCAGATGACCGCTCCGATTCAAGTGCTTCGCCTGGGTGAAGCGGCAATTGTAGCATTGCCCGGAGAAGTTTTCGTTGAGACGGGGATGAACATCAAAGCCGCATCTGACGCGAGCCCGATGTTCCTCGTCAGTTTAGCGAATGGATATATCGGTTATATCTGCACGGACAAGGCGTTGACGCAGGAGGGCGGATACGAGACATGGGCGGCGAAGTCCTCATTACCGGCTGTTGGGACAGTACCAGCGATGGAGGCACTCGTTGCCTCAATGTTGGATTAACATGAGTCTATGTGAAGTAAACTTTAAAAAAATAAAGAGGCGGGCGTAGGACCCGCCTCTGGGGGAAAAAATAGAATAGAAAGTTAAACAGCGGCAGGACCTCTTTCACCTGTACGGATACGGATGGTTTCATCAATGGGCAGAACGAAGATTTTGCCATCGCCGATTTTACCAGTCGCAGCAGCCTGTTGCACAGCTTCAACGACTTTGTCAACGTTCTCTTCTGCGACAACAATTTCGATTTTTAACTTCGGGACAAATTCGATTGTGTATTCGCTACCGCGGTACAATTCGGTATGCCCACGGCTACGCCCGAAACCACGAACTTCGCTGACTGTCATGCCCCGAACACCCCACACTGCTGAGTGCCTCTTTGACCTCCTCCAATTTGAAGGGGCGGATAATACATTCTAACTTTTTCATGCGATTCTCCTTGCTGAAAAGTGAATAGGGTTGTGTAGCAGCTTTGCCTTTCAATCAGGGCTTGCAATCTGTGCCCTCAAGGTTTACAAGTACGAGTGCGGTGGGCGGATACGGGAATCCGCCCTATAGAGTGATGTTTCAAAACCTCTGCGGAAGCACGCCATCACGATGATCGGGATCGCGTGGTTTCCGAGCGCACACGACCTAAATGTCGTGATAGAGGTAGAATTCGTACGGATGTGGTCGTATGTTGACTGCATCGACCTCATTTTCACGTTTGTAATCAATCCAGGTGTCCAAGACATCTTGGGTGAACACGTCGCCCTTGAGGAGATATTCGTGGTCTTCCTCTAAGGCATCCAAGGCATCACCGAGGGACGCTGGAGTGGACTCGATGTCCGCGAGTTCTTCCGGTTCGAGGTCATAGAGATCTCTGTCCAATGGGTCGCCCGGATGGATGCGGTTCTGTATACCGTCAAGCCCTGCCAGGAGCAATGCGCTAAAGGCGAGGTAAGAATTACAGGCTGGATCCGGTGGTCGGAATTCGATCCGTTTCGCCTTCTCACTCTTTGAGTAGACGGGAATACGGACACATGCGCTACGGTTACGTTGCGAGTAGGCGATGTTCACGGGTGCTTCATACCCTGGGACCAACCGTTTGTAAGAGTTGGTAGTTGGAGCAATGATTGCACAGAGCGAGCGGGCATGTGCGAGCAAGCCGCCGATGTAATAGAGTGCATCCTCACTGAGAAGCGAATATCCCTGTGGATCGTAGAAGATGTTCTTGCCGTCTTTCCAGAGACTTTGGTGGACGTGCATTCCGGAGCCGTTGTCTTGGAAGAGCGGTTTCGGCATGAAAGTAGCAACGAGGTTGTTTTCGCGCGCCACGTTCTTGATGATGTACTTATACAACGCCATCTTATCGCCAGTCACGGTTCAACTCACCATAGCGGATGTCGATTCGCCTTGCCCCGCGGTTCCACTTCATGGTGGTGAACTTCCACATCAACGCCAGCTTCATGAGCTTCAGACAGATCTCGGAGCGAGGTCTTGAGTGTATCGGAAGGCGGTACCGGGAAGTAACCTTCTTTGTAGCGCGGTTTATAACCGAGGTTTGGGTTCTCTTCGCGACCTGAATTCCAACTGCCTTCAACAGAATCGACGGAGTAGAAACCAGAGTGCTGGTTCTGTCCGTAGCGGATGTCGTTCAGGAGATAGAATTCTGCCTCAGGACCCCAGTAGCTCGTATCTGCGATTCCGGTGGATTGGAGATACGCCTCTGCTTTCTGTGCGATATACCGTACATCACGCGTGTAATTCTCCAACGTGATCGGATCTTTGATATTACACGTAATACTTAGCGTCGGCACCTTACAGACCGGGTCGATAATAGCGGTTGTTGGATCTGGGAAGAGCAACATATCGCTCTCATTAATTGCTTGGAAACCACGGATACTGGAACCGTCGAAACCGCAAACCTTCTCAAAGATGTCTTCGCTCAATTCACCTGCCATAAGGGAAAAGTGTTGCCACATTTCCTGGCAGATCCGTGAATTTGAGGTCGACGATCTTGACATTATTTTCTTTGCAATGCAACCACATCCACTTGGTGTCATTCAGTATATCCTCCTATTTCGGCGTAACTCTGCCGTCAAACTACCCTCATTTCGGAAACCGAGGCTACAATCTTACGAAACGGTGTATGAAAGCTGAGGCACAACGCCTCGGTTCTCCTAACTGCCGGTTTCGATAATTCAGAAAATGTCCTAGATTCGTCAATTGAACGCGTAACTCATACCACTTGACGAGTGTCTTAATTGAATACGTAAGCAAAATTTGTGCCAATCGTCGACAATCGTGAAAGTTACGGTATTAACTGAGGAAGATAGGCTATTCTCGTGTAAATCACGAGTTACACGCGGATTTCGACGTGACCAGCCCGCTGTGCCGAGTTTCGTCCACATTTCATGTAAAAAAGATTAGGCGTTGCTAAATTATTAGGCATAATATTGCCCATTTTTTGCGCGCGATCGGCGATGGACGCTACTTGGTACCGCAAATCCGATAGATGGGCTTCAGTACTAAGGGAAATTCAACATCTCTGTCGAACCGGCTTGTTTCTGGTCCGTCCTGACCTGCGTATTTATTTGCGGGTTTAAGCTGGTACGGTACAAGTGCCGGTGAAGAAAGCTGCGCGAAGGTGAAAGCGCAGATCCGCATACCGGGATATAATTTAACCGGCATACGTCCAAGATTCCCTAACTCCAGTGTCGGGGTGCCTATCCAACCCGGATCGAAGAGACCGGCGGTGCTGTGGACGATAATACCGAGTCGTGCTAAACTGCTTCTGCCTTCAAGCCGTGCCATAACATCGTTCGCTAATACGAGTTTCTCCTGTGTGGCTGCGAGGACAAGCTCACCCGGTTGTATCGTGAAGGCATCGTCATCAGAGACATCAACTTTTCGCATCAAGTCGTTGGTATCAATTCCAGCGCGCAGATCGATGTACGGGTGTTTGCTATGCTCGAAGACACGAAAGGTGTTGCTCAGTCTGAAATCGATGGAGCAGCTGCCGAGCTGGGTTTTCAAATCGGGGGCAGGGGTGATTTTGATTTTCCCTGCGTCTATATACTTAAGAATATCTTGGTCTGATAAAAACATTGTTTTTCTTGTGTCCATCACTGTTCAGGTAAAAAATCCTCTGGGGGGATCTCTCGATAAGCATAGTCTAAGAGATTAACGGGGTGCACTCGCTTGCATCGGCAATTTATGTTTCTGGATACCGAGTTGAATCTGGAGCAAGCACCCGGATTCCGGTTTGCGACGAGTGTCTGCGTCGTTTTCGGCGATGTGCGCCATTTTGCGTTCCAGGATTTCCTGTGAAGTTCGGGCTGTGTAATGTTATAGATACCTGCGCTGCTGCACAGCACACCATTCGGACTGGTTAATTCAATCAACTCAAGTCCTGGGTTATGCCTGAAGAACCTTGCGTGCGACTCGACGCTTGGCCCGTGAAGGAGATGCACGTTCATTCATCATGGTAACCCGCTTTTTTCGATTTTCCTGTCGGCGGTATCATCTCAATTTCGGCTAAAAAATTCGCTGATGTCGCGCATCTTAATGGCTGAAGCCTTCCCGCTTTCTCTGCGTAAGCCGCATCGTTTTCTAAGAGTGCGTCGTATTCCTTAAGCGTTTGCCCACACAGCCCGCAGAGTTTGATGATAATCGCGTCTAAATTCTCACCTTCAAATGCGTCGATGTTCTGCTTGGCGAGATCTGAGGGCGACATCTCGTACGGCCGTTGTGGAGTTGTAATGCACCACACACAGTCTGCTCGCGGCGTCGCGGTGTGACAACTTCGCCTCCGTTTTTTACTAAACCACCTAAACCCGGATGGTGCCAACATTGGTCTCTGTGACGGACCTGGTTCATTGATGCATCCGGGGATGAATCCGACGCAGGGATAGCGAGTCTGACCTTCGGCGGGTGTGATGTCGCGTATCGTATATTTAAGTTGCGGCGATGGTGGTGTGGGGGTGGACGTTTTGTGGGGGGGGGTGGAATTGTAGGAAGACAATGATTTCATCTGCCCCGAGTTGTCCCATTAAGAATTTCAGGATTCCTGTTTTAGGATGAGCCATCGCGATACCGACGACGTGGTAGAGACACATCAATTGCCAAAAGATAAGGTCCAAACCGTTCTCTTATTAGGAAAAAATTGCTTTGAAAACGATGGTTTCGTCCAGAACCGCGTAAGCTGCTGAAGCTGCCGAGTTTCTGCTCATAGAAGCGCGTGATGTTCAAGGAAGCTCTCCGAAGTGAACGCCCCCCCAGACGCGAACAAGCGTTTAGTTAACACGCCCGACAGTCTAGCACAGATAAATGTATTCTGACCATAACGCTGAGAAGTGGGGTGGCCATTCTCATCTCTGAAGGCACTCCCCAGAGATAGAGCTACCCCTTGGTGAGCCGTTTCTAACCTAATTCTCGATAGAGTCGGCAGGTGGGCAGACAGGAGTCCACAGTGCGTGTACAAGCAGTCCCATTTTTCCAAACTGAAGGTGTATACACCGATAAGCGATGTGTTTGTGATGGGGCATACGTTAACTTGTTTCGCAGGGGCGCGTTTAATACGGTTTTGAATCCTTTCGATATAGCGTTGCATCGCAGCCAGAGTAAAGTCTATCACAATCAGCCTCCGTGGCAAAGTATCATATAGTTGGAGTGTCTTACGACCAGCGAACGCTTTCTTGAGATGCGTACTCGGTTCCTGAATCTTTATCGTGTGTTAGTATCTACGTTTTTGGTGCTGTGTACAGCCTTCTCTTTCAGAGAAACTGCGCTGCTGCCGAAGTAATATGAGGTGGGGACGGTCCGTTGATTTTCCACTTCTGTGCAAAAGTCTAAAAAGTTAGACACGTATTCACACCTCCGTCGGTTCCCATGATAAGTCACGCACGGCCACCGATTTGAGCATATCTGTCGTAGCAGAGTAGAGACTGGCTGCTCTATCAGTGCGACGGTGGGTCGTGTGCGTATGAAGCTTCACTGTGCTCGATGTCAAAATTTCATTAACAGTTATACGAGTCATCATCTACGCCCCTGTGTATAAGCTTTTGCAACTACTCGTATCATGTCAGCGCCCGGACCTTACCCTGCAGGTCAGTGTGACCTGGGTGTATCCTGCCGAGTTGTTTTAACAGGGTGCACTACTGTCGCGTCGCTACGGTTTTGGGGAGCAGTGTGGGATATCCATTCCTGCGTCGTTCTAATCTCACTTCGGAGCGACGTTCAACCCACACCGTGGTGACTCGTCGTCTCGCTGATAACGTTGAGCTGACGGATGCCTAAATCGTAGAGGAATTGCTCGCAGCAGCATCTACTTGCCGATAGTAGTTCACGAGTGATACGCATACCGTAAGGGAACCGTGAGGAGAGACAGGCGAACGCCGAGCGGTACGGTTTATCTCCCATGTCGGGAGTTCCCACGCTTTTGAATCTCGCGAATCTCTGCCTTCGTTAAAACCTTCAACAAACTCACTCAATGTGCTTGGATACCATCTTTTTCCTGCGCGTGGCTCCATGCGTGGTGCGAGTGGTCGCCAACGTCCTCTGGAGCGATGGCGCGTATAGATGTGCCATTACTCGTACTTTTCGGCGATGCGATCGGGTACGGTCGTTTATCGAACAATTCCTGGTCTTACGAAATAGCACTCAGGTTGGTCTGGTTGCTGCGTACCCTCCAGCTCCTAATTCTTGCGTATGGACGGTTTCAAAGCGAATCCGGCAATCTGACTGGCATCTCCTGTGTCGGCTTCATTTTCCACGAGTCGGATCGAATGCAGAGCTAGCAGTGACAGCAAGCGCGTTGTTACCCAATGCGTGTTGTGCCGCCTCTGCGAGAAATGTGACTAGTCACGGTCGCCGGAAAGCGCGATATATTGACTTCTCATAAGCGCGCAAGCACGCATAGAGTACGATTTCAGTTTCGTCGGTAGGGTAGGTTCAAGTTTCTGTTTTGACATAAATTGCCGTCCGTCTGCGGCGGCGGACGATGAATCGCCCTACTACGAAACATTAGAATACTGAGAAGGGCGTTCGGCTGTTGGAGTCTCAATCATCGTCGCTGATGGGCGAAGGAGGGAGCGATAGTCCACGCGTGTTTAAGAAACTGTCCTGCTACGTTTCGCTTTCCAATACACATAAACGAGTACGCCGTCCTCTACGTGATCTATTTTCGTGGTTGCACAGCTAACGCGTTGCCAACACCATCGGTTTCAATGTGGGACAAGTCCTGGCTCTGGACATCACTTCCTCAACGACAATTCTCTCTGGGACGTTTCCACTCTGCTGTCATCATCGGAGGATACGGAGACATCTGCCTCGATGACGGCCTCTCCATCGGAACTCAGATTTCGGGTGTAATTGCTAATGTTAACAGCACCAAGGGATCGTATTCTCGCATCATCATCTTCGCGATGTCCACCTGATGAGTCTTTTCAAAACACCGACCTGTGTTGCTGCTGAGTCCATACCGTTGCTGTATCCGCCAGCGTCACTCACATCTGTTCAGCAAGTTGACGTTCTGCTCCGCAATCTCTGCGAACAGGTGCTAACGTTGCGCATGCTCTTTTACGAAGAGGGAGACCGATCGACGTAACGTAATAGCACAGTGTATTGTAGTCAGAGTGCTGTCATCATCCAGCCTACGCTCGATCTTCTCCAACCACGTCCGAAGCGTGTGTTTTTGGACTTTCTCTACGTTTGGCATGTATCAGAGAATTCTCTCGTGGATAACATATCTTTGTCAAAACGCTCTTGATATATAATAGCACTTCTCTGTCGGTTCTGTCAAGCAAAAATTTGTTACTCAGCACGTGTGTTTGATAAAAAATGCGAAGTTGGCATTTGATTGTTGGGTACTTGCAAATTTGCAATGGAGTGTTGGAAATCGTCCAATTTTTCTTCTTTCGCTCAGAGGTGCTATATCAAGGTGCCGGACTAGATAGCTAGG